GGCACACGACGTCGTATTTTGAGTACGATGCGTTCGTACGTGGTTACGAAGGCATCAAGTGACCTCCAGGTGGTATAAAACCTTCGGTCAACCGCGGCAAATTTCAATGGCAGATGATATTGGGAGCTAAACTAAGTTTAAACTTTATTTTGGATCTTCATATTAATATCAAAAACAATTTTATTCACACAAAAATCTATGGTAAAAGAGATTATTTGATTTTGGTATAGTAAATTATCCACATTTAGATGGAGGCGAACAGCATGCAACATCTAACGGGGTATATGTATCTCAGTTAATAAGATTCACAAGAGGATTTTAACGAGCAAAATATTTTCATTACTAGCAAGCTACTCAAACAGGGCTACCGCGTAAATATTTTACAAAATGTTACAATCGTAATTAAATATTGATTTAATAACATTTCTCCGACAAGGGATTATCCAGCGTGATTTTTAATGGGATGTTATAAACAAACTTCGTATGATCTTGGGTCATTGCTATTCTTCTGTTGTCTTTACTAAAATTATTAAACTTTTTATTAAAAGAGGTTATGACCCTACCGCATGCTTAGTGTTCAACACTCTTACAGTTGGACGCTACAGTTTCCTCTTTTGAATACATCTGTCGGACCAAGTTGGAGACTCAATGATGGAGAGTTCTTAAAGTCCTTTGGGACTGAATTGCCTTAATGTTCGTCTTCTGTCTTGCTTCGTTGGGCCCTTGTAGGTGATTTTCTTGTTGCTCTGTCTTCCTTTAAGACATTGAGTACATTTGTTATGGTCAATGGGTTTTCTTTTATATGTTTCTACATGATCATTTCGGTGTTCACCTTTTGTTACCATAACAACTGTTAGAAATTCATTTTATTTTCACTGTCTCGTTTATAGGAACATGGTGGGGCTAAGAGTGAGGTTTGGTGCATCATTAACCGGTTTAAACTCCCCAGCAGTACTTATGCTGCTGACCGTTCCAAGGCGGCGCCCCTCTGTGTTCCTCAAATGTATGTCTTTGTTCTTTCATACTGCTTTGGTGACATATTTGTCTGTGTCCCTTATATTCTCGTTTATTGTAAGTATCTCCCCTTTTGCCCCTAGTTTTATTTCTTTTATTCCCCCCTTCCGAATCTCTTACCCCCTTCCCCTGTGTCCTTGCTTTGTGGGCTTATTAATTAATCATTTATTTGTTTTCTTCATTTCCTTGTCGGTTACTCTTGTTTCTTCTTATGTATCATTTTATTTATTAGTCTGTCCTTGCTCTGCCTTGTGCTTTGTCCTGTTTTTTGTTTGGGGTCCTCCTTGGCTCCTTGCTTCTAGTTCTTGTGTATACGCCTCCGTGGTCGAAGGGTTAGAGTCGATGACTTCTAATCCAGTTACTTCTCTGGCGTGGGTTCGATGCCCGGGAGATGCTTTGGTAGTTTAGCGCGGAGAAAGGTATTCTAGTACTGGTGTAACTCTCCAGGAGCGATGGTTAGGAAACTACCCGCCTATATGACTGAAATACTGTTGGCAAAAGGCGTAAAATCAAACAAACAAACAAATCTAGTTCTTGTTGCTGCGTCTTGTGGGGTTGCATTTATTGAACGCTGCCTTTCATTGTTGATCTTGTTTATCATATTTGATAAAAATTTATCAGGTCGCCCAAGGAGGGCCTGTAGGAGTTGCTCATCATGTTTTCTAAGGTGTATAAAAATTAGCAGTACTGCTGCCTTCTTTTTCTCGGTTGACTCATTATCAAAGCATGAAATTCTGCAGGGAATAAACAGAAAATAATTGTAAATTAATTGCAAATAATGGAAGCTTTTTATGTCTCTGTAGAGATGTGCAAGACTGACAGATGAGGAAGATGGTCTGAGGCTAGGTCTTTATATGTCCACCATGATAAATATGCAACGCTTCCTCTTCTCAATTTGCTTTGTTCTTACTCATCGTAGTCCCATCTCGATGACATCGTACCAAACCACGATGGCGACACGACGGTATTGCGGGGGTTTCACGTAGTCGTGTACCCTTCTAAAGTCAATCGGGAATTTTCGTGTTTCCTTCGTATTGTCTTTTTTAGGCGATTACACCGATGATCACACGAAGTCAAGACGAAGGCTACAAGATTTGACAAGATAGCCTCACGACGACCTTACGAAGCGCATAATTGGCGAATTCAACACAAAAATGAACCTTCGAAATGTCCTCCGGCAATTTTTTGGCATGCCAAAGATTTTGCGACCGCTCACGAAGTTGCTGCCGGAGCCTGCAATGGCCATTCGAATGGCCCGATGTTATTACGACCAGAACTGAATTTGAACATTTCCTTATTCGTGTGTCCATCTGATGCCTAATTCGGGACAGTGTGACGCCTGCATCACATTACTCCAAGGAATAGAAAGAGCATCGACACACGAGGTTATCTGATTTATACGAGGGGCCGTAACCCCCGAGTATTAATCAGATTGCCGAGTGTTTTGATGTTCTTTCTCTTTTGTGCCATAGTGAAACATAAACACACATTCCCTGTTGTCACAATATGAAACCAAAGAAAAAAGAAACCAATGAAGGAACATCTGGATATGATATTTCTATCGATTTCCCTTTCTCTGTCGTCTGACACAATAAGTAAACTCCAGCAAAAATGAGCCAATCAACTTGAATCAATGCTCTTGAGTGCGGGCAACTAATACCTGCACTCCAGTTAACGCACTGTGCATGTATATGTATACGAAATAACTCTGACACATTTGCAACAGAAAGGTCCCCAAACTATAACACAATTAAACATAACATGTTTACAGGTTACTTTAGTAATAGATCATAAATAGATTTTTTTTCCGAGGGAAATTCCAGAATGAACCGAACTTTGTCCGATAATTTTCTATTCGGGTTTATTAAGTTATCATCAACTGTGTAAGGTTATCTTAAATTCAAAATATTATCATACTTTTAAATTTGTCACTATTTTTTTTTAGTCGGCGCAATTCGATCACTTTACATTATTATATTTGGCAAACAACTCAGTTGATGATTTGATACGTTTAAGTTAGTATCATCGGTTAAGTTATACAGATATAATCGTCTTTCATTTGGCACATTTGTTGCCACAAAATTTATCATCTTTACACGTTATTTAGATGCATGTATGGAACAGAGCAGTTGATGTCTTATTGACATTATGTTGTGAAATAAACAAGTCATTGATTGATAAATAAAATACTCTGTGTGTATGTTGTTTTTTAAAATGTTTAGATTTCGTTGCACAATGCTATTGTAAAATAAATTTGGTAAAATTTCACTGTTAGTTTTATAGTTACTGTAGTGGATAGACTCATGTCCGGAATTAGGAGGGACCTGGAAAGATCTATGTTCTTAGTCACTATCCTATAATTTTTATATGTAAAATGATTGTTTCGCATCGCAAACAACCAGTGCAAAATGAATTTATCTAAAAAATACATTTATGTACATTAGAATTCTGAAATAGTTTTTCCTGTTCATTTTAATTCGTTGCGAGTATTTTTTTCTCCTTATTATATAAACGTTTTGTCAAAGAAACATCTTTATGTTTTATATTTTCATTTTGGTCGTAAATAGTAAGTACTTCACTTGCTCTTTTATATTTCTAATCTACTTTGATAAGTGGTTTGTAGTTTAAAAAGTTTGAAGAAGGTTGTTTGCAATAATTTATGACAATAATCGTACCATTAAGTATCATTGAAAGTTTATAAAAGGGTTGAGCACCATATTTGTGAACCCTGCGAGGTAAACTTTCGAGATCTGCACGAAAGCAAGTAAATTTGCGTCAGCAAAAATCACTTACACTATTTCTTTTCTCACATTTACATGTATTTTATGACCCTCACGCTGTTTGGCCTAAATATTTATTGATTTTATTGATTTTTAATACGATCACATTACAGCAAAGAAATGTTTTCCTTTAAGAAGCTCATTATTGAACGTATTAATTAAATCATGAACCGTCGTTTTACGTCCGTAATGACTAGTAGTGCTTTTCATTAAAGTAAAAGTAATTGATTAACATTTAAAAAAATAATACCTATAACGCAATCGAGTGATTTGTTTATAAAGCTAAATGAAAAAATTATGTCCGAGTCTTTTACAGTCATATTGGTTATTGTGCTGTAAAAACACATTTGATGTAATGATATATTGATCTTTGGTAATAAATCAATCAATCAAATCACCAAGTGACATAAAACACTTATACATACTTCAATGTATTTGATATAATATGGGACTCTTTGAAAGTGGTCACGTCTTGACAAATATGACCTTATTAACACATTGAACCGGTATTAAATTGTGTCGTTAACTTATTTCACAAAAGCAAATGTGTTCATGACAGAGAAAAACACAATTTTACTGTTCTTTCTAATATAAAACGCTCTTCTATCGGCTTGTTACAATTACTTATTTATTAAATGGCAGATTTTTTATGTAGTAACTTTCCCAAATGTCTTAATCATTACCAGATTGCTTCAGAAATGACCTCTAGTTCCTTTAGCTACATTTTCATAATAGAAAACGTTACTTGTATACAGAAAATATATTTGTATCGTTCGAATCAGCTTCCGTTACAGCGGCTCGAAATATATCACTTCTATATTAATGTTATAAACGTGTCCGAACTAATACAAATTACGCTGTTGCGAAGAAAAAAAAACATAACATTCAAATATCCCGCCTTCATTTCATGATCGATTAAACAGTGTATATTGAACTTAAACAATATAAATAAACTCGTGTGTTTGTGTCTGTACAGATAATAGGTGTTGTTTGATCTTTTTATTAAATCTGCCATTATGTTGATACTATATTATATCTGTTGACAATATTAGTATTATTAAGATATATACGTGTTTAGTCTGCAAGTTTTTATTGTAGTAATTACGTACGAATGACTGTATAGATACCATTGTATATTCAATTAAATTTGAACCAATTGAGATATCGATTATATTGTATATCATACTGGAGTGTATAAAGGAGCGGATTGAGTCAGCATAGTGTCATACTGATATTTAAATTTATTATCGAACTTTAGTGCGTCGAACACTGTAATGATTAAAGTGCTCTGTTTGACTTTAAACAAACACTTTATGTATAAATTTCTTATTAGGATCTAAACTATTGAGTATTCGTAGCATTAGCTAAATTTGTTCGATACATTTTTTTTCTTCTGAAAGTTAATGTGAAAGGGAAAGGGTCTTTTAAGCGAGCAAATTGACTGGAATTATGATATATGGTTCCTTGGATTTACTTTAAAACATCACAGTCCTCTCGAGAAGAAGGTAAAACTTTGTTATGTTTATTTTTAGAAACAGACTGCAAGATTGTTTAGATAATTGAATTGTTAACCTTTTGTACCTAAAGACTTCTATAAATATAACCATGCTACCTGTTTACTATAGACAAACAGACAGACAAACAGAACATGTTTTTGACGTAATCAGTATAGTTTTTGTCATACAATTTACATATATGCATTTATAATTGTCAACTGATCAAATAAAGTTCAAACAATAAATACATTTTTTTTCCACATAAATAAATAAATAGATTTCCTATCACTTTCATTGATCTCATTTGATAAATCAATTTTTTTTTATTTTATTGCTTCCGTGTTAAAAATCTGTTATATCAATAAATTAATCCCGCTTTTCTAAAATAGAAAATATAATAAGTAAATAAAAGAAAGTTTGGTATGCAAGTTATTTAATTATCCATTGTTATTTTTGATAATGATAATAATAATAATAATAATAATAATAATAATAATAATAATAATAATAAAATAGTAATAATAATAATAATAAAAATACATCTGTAATAATAATAATAATGATAATTTATTACTCCATAACATATGTTATTTTTTATATTTTAGATGGATTTAATTGAAGCAAACTCTACCCCTGATTACGCACTTCAGTGTATTAAATGGTGTATAGAACACGGTGACCTTGCTGCACTGACGGAACATTTAAGACACCATCATAGTAAAGTGAAACATGAAATTATTCCATTGTTATTTCAAGCTTTCTCAAACCAGCAGGTAGAAGTTGTTAAAATTCTGCTCCCCTCGCTAGATCAAGAAATATTGACACTATCAAGTTTAAATAGAGGAGCACTTTTGAACAAACTACTTTGTAGTGCTGTTGAAACTGGAGATGTTGACATTGTAAAAGACTTGATAAACAAAGGTGCTGATTTAGATTGTAATTTTCACGGCAAACCTATATTACACATCGCCGCTTGTTACGGCTATACGGACATTGTTACAGTTTTAGTGGATGCAGGCAGCAAAATAGACAGTCGAGACAGATTTGGTGATGGTATAATACATTCCATTCTCACCTCACAGTCTTTATCGAAGGTAAATAAACGTTTTAACGAAGAAGAAAACTATAAGTTTCTTTTATAATGTTACATGAATCTTTTAGCTAAGAATAAAATATAGACTCTATTTTGTCTCATAGTTATTTACAAATATATCATGTACAAGAAAAAATGGGAAAAAGATGGATCTGTGTTTAAAATGATTTCGTATACATGTTCCATATTTTCCCCACGACTCTATACACTACTTTAGAATTATCATTTTGTACATATCCATTAGGAGCATACTCAATTAACTGGTGTGTTAACATGTAATATTAAATGTTACTGTCATTACTGATTTGCTCGGCATTTTTCAGGGTACCGTTGTTCGGCTTCTAATCAAACTTGGTGCTAGCCCACTTGTCAAATCATCTTCTGGAAAACTACCCATTCATATTGCTGCCAAGAATGCGCCAGATGTTCTTAACGAATTTATCCAAGAGGGAGCTAATGTTAACATAGTTGATGACGTCAATAGAGAAACGCCATTACATATCGCATGTGGCGCCGCCTGTCGGGAAACTATTTTGACTCTTATACAATCTGGAAGTACCGTTAACATAACAAACAGACACGGACAAACACCATTAGCAAAACTTTTAAAGTTCATAAACAATGACCTTGACTTCCATACAAAAACCCGACTTGACATAGCAAGAACGCTGATTTCTCTGGGTTTTCGTATGAATTGTCAAACGTCATGTACACAATATTCTAGAGGTCGAGATAAAGGATATGACAAATATAAGTCACTCAAGTTATCACTTAAATCACCTTCTAGTCTCCAAAATCTATCTAGGATTGCAGTGAGGGGTTCGTTTAAGTTCGATTCAGACATTGTGAAAGACATTTGTCAACTCGATATACCTGTCAATCTGAAATCATATTTATTGTTTAATGATGTAAATTTGTAGTGTCAAAATTACTGGAAATTTCTTTTTCTAAATATTATCGTAATTTTATTACACGTTTAATTGAATTTGTACTGTTGTATTGTTTTAATGAAGGTGCTACTGACCAGTATTAATTTATAAAAACGACATGCTGGTAAATTTGACAAATAAAATTACAATAATTCTACCGAATTTATACTTTTATTTCAACCATTGAAATACTTACGGAAGCGTTGAAGTGCTTACACACAGCAAACTCTTTATATTTTGATACAAATCTAAACTATATTAACTTTTATGAACTTTATAAGAAAAACATTAATTGAAATCAAATAAGACTTCAGAGATTTTTCTAGAAAAAGTTACACTATTTTGCTTTGAATATTTAAAGTTTTTAACATTTTTGGATGTTCATTTGCGATGTTTGTTTATCATATTCATATTTTAGAAAGGTTGCATGAGACAATGCTATAATTTTTATAAACTCTGTATGCAATGTATGTAGGTGAAGATTATGCTATAATACGTTCTTATTGATTTTATTAGTAGAACTTACATGAGATATATATAGATTATAAACAGTACTATTTTATTGTTCTATCATGCGGTGGGAGGGTATCGGGGTGGGAGTAGATGATCTCTTTTTGTTATATTATGAAAATATATTGCCAAAACTGTTCACGATTGAATCAAGTTACAATAAACAGTATTGATATGAAATGACATCCGACATCGCCACTTAAAGGGTGGACGTATTAGAAATATGATACGACCTAGATATATGATGATAAATAATATTATATTGAATTGGCACGTAATGTAAATCTAAAAAATTACCAAAGTATTGATACTTTGTCAAGAATAATCTTGTGTACAAAAGTGAACATTATAATATGGTCATAATGTCACGTATTGTTTACGATTGTATATCCTTAGCTTGTGCAGATGTTATGTTTTCCTTACAATTTAAATGACACTGACAACTTCAATATTGATCCTCTGTCTATTAGTTAGGACATATCTTTCTTCGGTGAGCATTTAAATACTATGTATATGGAATATTTCGTCCTTAACATGCCATCACTTATGCTGGACTGAGAAGAAAGCATGACACTTATTTGAGCCACAAATTTGAGTTAACTGAAAGTAACCCATACTAAAGTCTTGTGCAATATGAGGAAAAATAACTGTAATTAAATCAGGACTCGAACTGATGTTCCCAGGTTTAAAACGAGCCAGATATATGACCTACAACGCATCTGCCTTTCTAAATACAAACGATTTACTAATTTCAATTAAAAATAATGTCGTGTAGAGGATGATAAAAAACTGCGTAAAGGATTATAAGACAATTATTTGTACTATTGTAACTAACATTTTCCACAAGTATCAACAGATTTAGGTAATTATATTTCTATATGTATTATCTAATTGCAAAGGGTCAGTTTAAACATAATTAATTACTTAAATTAAAACAATTGAAAAATAGCCTTAAGGTTGCTCTAGCTTGCTTTCTGGAATCAGCCAGAACTTGTTAAATATGAGCACATTTGGTCACAAACCCAATAGATCTAGGGCTCGAACACGAGAGTGATAGGCATCTACCTCTTTACCTTACTTTTAACTTGCCCTTTAATGTCACCTCCGATCAATAAACGTCTGATTGATCTTGAACAAACATCGTCCTGACATCTGAACGCTTTAAAAATGAAAAACAAAATATCAGAGAGTGACGAAGTTTACCAGATATACAAAAACTATTAATGTATGTTATACCTTAACTGCATCAGAATTTCTATCATATTTGATGAATGGAACTTATTTTGCTACGTGACTTCAAATAAAAAGATATACTTCAAACGTACATTTGAAGTTCAGTTTAAGTAGTTTTCAAAGATAAGAAATGGCACGTTTCTTTTCCATTTTATATACGTCATCAGTCAGATAAGATTTCAAACTTCCTTGATATAAATCTCTCAATATAAGGCGTAGAAAAACATTTTTTTCCTTCATTAAAATTGTAATTATATTAGTAAATTGTTGTTTAATGTTCATATAATAAACGTGTTCAAGAAAAAAGAAGGAAAGAACAGGGCCACTTTATGACCATTATTTGAGTGAGCCGCGTCATGACAAAACGAACGTAATGCGTTTGCGACCAGCATGGATCCAGACCAGTCTGCGCATCCGTGCAGTCTGATCAGGATCCATGCTGTTCGCTATCAGTTTCTCTACTTGTTATAGGGTTTGTAAGCGAACAGAATGGATCCGGATCAGACTGCGCGGATTCGCAGGCTGGTCTGGACCCATGCTGGTCGCAAACCTATTATGTTGGTTTTGTCATGACGCGGCTCATTTATCGTTATAAACATTCTGTGTATCTCTACCAATGATACTTCTCTTTTCATAGGGTAATACGGTGAAGTGCAAATTGGTAACCCGAGAACTGCAATAATACCCGAGGCGAAGCCTCAACGCTATGCAGCCATTCAGAGAACTAGAAGATTACTCGCCCCTTGGGAATATTTCCTGTTTATATTTATTTTCAGAATGATAGATCGGAACAATACCGTGTGATGACACATTACTTAGGCTATATAGTATAGTTTACGTGAGGTTTAATAACATATATTATAATTTGACTTTATTTCAAACAAAATTTATCGTATGTTGTAATATATTGGTATTCCTTCCACATATTAAAGGTGTTGATAACTGTTTAATGACAAGCTTGTAAGATGGTAGGTAACTACATTATCACGGTATAAGCATACTGGTCACATAATATAGTAGTCTCCCTTTATCAAACAGTTATATGCATATACGGATAGGGGTAACCTGTTGGTTAAGGTACCCGCCTCTTAACCAAGGGATAGGAGGTGCGATCCCTACTTTGGCCACAGCCATGTTTCCCTATAACAAAAACAGTAGAGCAAGTTTCAGTACGCGAACTCGAGAGAGGTTCAAAATAAAGCACTGAATTTCCTCACATTCGGGCTGGCGGTGATAAAAATTATCAATAACATTACATTTGTGATATGAACTCGTTTAAGATTGACATTGTATGACAAAACTTAAATTAATTATGAAGTATTCTGCAAGATCACACAATCTGAAGAGCGTTAAGTCATATTAAATGTTTGTGTTTCTTTTAATCAAATGTCAAATAACAGCATTTTGAAAATTTCTTTGCTATTGAAATCATTAATTTTGTAAATGTTTACTTCATATTACGCGAAATTAAGACACGGGGTAGAGACAGTTACTTACCGATTATTTCTTTTTCATATAAAGCAAATGACATTGTAAATGTAGAAGTTTCCTTAAGGCGAAAGTCAGGCATGGTTATTTTAATTTTCCATCAGCTACAATACAAGATCTTAAAAAGAAGACTCAAGCGAACAAATTCAAGCAGTTGATTTATTTCTATCGAACAAAAAATATTTTATTTATTTCAATTAAAACGTACCTTTTTACGTAATTTGCGTTATTTGTAAAATGATATGTCTTTTCCACATTGAAATATTACGCATTTTCAAAACATTTTTAGACTTTTAAATGAAAAGAACAAAGTGGCGATAATATTATGTAAAATACAGGAAATAAACTTTATAAAATAATAGAAATAAAATAATTATTTCATATGAATACATGTACCGCACATTCCGTTACTTGTTAATTAAACTCCATTCTATATACATTCATAATTAAACTTCTAATTAAGCAGAATATTTTAGCCAATAAACGATCTGTACTTCGTACGTAAAATTAAAGTTGTTTTATTTTCTATTTATACAAACAAAAGACATTGTGAGTTATTTTTACTGTTAATTCAGGTGTATCATTACATAAATGGTGAGGGGTAATAACATAAACTAACAACTATATTGGTACACGTTAGTATATTGTTATTTGTCGACTCAGTTTGACAATGTTTAAACATCTTCTGCAGTAAGTTATAAAAATCTTGGTTGCTTGGTATGGTGGCATATTTCTGCCACCAGATAACCATATAACTAACTAGTTAATTAAGAGGTTAACTAGTTACGTAACTAGTTAACCTGATACCAAACTAGTTAATTATCAGGTTAACTAGTTACGTAACTAGTAAACCTCTTAATTAACTAGTTAGGTATCAGGTTAACTAGTTACGTAACTAGTTAACCTCTTAATTAACTAGTTAGGTATCAGGTTAACTAGTTACGTAACTACTTAACCTCTTAATTAACTAGTAAGTTATCAGGTTATCTGGTGGCAGAAATATGCCACCATAGCTTGGTAAAAAATATTATCGTTAATGATTCTCATCGAACGGAAATTTCTGTAAATGTTGCAAGAGTTTTATGCAAAAATGTATTTAGGAAACATGAGGTAGTAAAAATAAATATTTTGATACGTTGATTTTAAATATGTTTGATACGGATTAGGCAACATATTGGAATAAGCTTGATGTTAACAAAAAAACCCATCTCAAATACCTATGTAAGTGTTTGTTTTCAACATCTTAAGCAAAGTGTAACTAATACTGATTACTAACTAACTATTTCAATTTGAAAGCACAATAAACGTAAGAATGTGGTATCTAAGTGAAATATTAATTCGAGTTATCAGCTAGCTTACGAAACGTCAGTGGTTCTATTCAGGTGCCCGTTTGTGTCTGAAATAATGCACAGAAGGGCGCCTGAGATCTTCCTCCATCAGTAAACTTGAAACGCCGCCATATGACCTATACTGTGTCGATGTGACGCAAAACCCAATCAATCAAACAAACAATTCCAGTTATTACTCTTTGTAAATGTCGTGCTCTTAAAACTTTTCTGTCTACCCATCGATACTTTTATTCTTACATTGCTTTTTGCAAATCTTTCTACATGAGACTCCAGATATGAAAAAGTTAACCGCCATTATAGAATTACATATAATTGCAAGCTCGAAAAGTAAATCATAGGAACTGGTGATATCACGAATAAATCCTCCAAAGTATCCTCCGAGGCAAAATCCTACACCTAGAAAAATATTCCATATTGAATATATCGCCCCGTAAAGCTCAGAAGGATATATCTCTAGTAGAATTACTGGAATTTGTGGAAAGAAAAGTCCTAAAGAAAATCCATTGAGAATAGCACCTACTAATATACCAAAGTAAGATCCAGTAAACAAGATGACAGCATGCGATGCTGCAATCATCATCGTAAAGACTGTAATTTGAATCAAACAGTTTCCCGAGTGGAATATCAATTTTGATGCAAGTGTTACAATTCTTCCAGCAAGGTTTGCAAGCCCCATGTATGAAAGGAATAACGCACCTGTTGCTCTACCATATCCTTTGAGAATCATGTGATCTACAAGGAAATTGCTTTCAACAAAAACGCTAAACGCTATAAGTAAACCGTTAATAAGCAATGGATACAGTCGCCATTCCTTAAATACACAACTATCAAAAAGCTTTCCTCCTGAGCTAGATTCAGTTAAAGGTTTTGAACTAACGGTGTCTTTTTCAATGTAGTAGATAATGATACCACATGGAATCAGATTTGCCATAAATGCTGACATAACCAAGAGAGTTCCATTCCAGTTATATTGCTCAAGTAAACACTCAATGAAATAAGGGAAACAAAACTGTCCAATACTAGGGCCTGTATATATGGCCGCAAATGCCGCTTGTTTCCATTTCACAAATATATCATTAATAAGCACTTTTGGTCCAAAGGAAGTTATTGAAGCCCCGATTCCCGCTATGACACCAATACATAAAATCAGCACCCAGATACTTGTTGCAAATTGTGCAAGAAACACACCTGCAACAACAAAACACGACCCTAATATTACACAAACTCCTTGTCCAAATCGTACTGCTATAGGATTCCATAGAATAACTCCTCCTAAGTTGAATGCAGTGAATAAGTTCTGTATTAAGGCGGCATCAGAACTTTTGGAGCTGAAAACTCGGATAAATTCCGGGTATAAAACACTCAAGCAGTAGCCAAACCCTATCGAGAAAACGTATATCAACACCGTTGTAAACACAAGACAAAATGTTTGTACATTTAGACAAGTTAACCTATGTTCCTGTTCTATTATTTTCTCACTTGTATCACGAAATGTCTTCAAATTCCCATATGTTATAACATTTCCGTGCTTAATTACATCGGTTTCTGCAAGTGTCATATCGACAGTATTATTTGGAGACAATTATTTTCAACAATGATGTTTTATATCAATTAGAACACCGATGTGATGAGTACAATCATGTAATATTTCTGGCTGCATTGGTTGGAAATGATTTTCTTTTATGCAAATTTGAAATTGGAAGTTTCTACATTACTTTTAACACACGTTGTATCATAATACAAAATCAGCCGCGCCATGACAAAACCAACATAATGCGTTTGCGACGAGCATGGATCCAGACCAGCCTGCGCATTCGCGCAGTCTGATCAGGATCCATACTGCTCGCTATCAGTTTCTCTACTTGTTTTAGGGTTTGCAAGCGAACAGCATGGATCCTGATCAGACTGCGCGGATGCGCAGACTGGTCTGCATCCGTGTTGGTCGCAAACGCATTAAGTGACATTAGTTATAGCTTCTGTATTTGTTTAAAACATGAGTCATTTCAGGAGAGATGAATACTGCAAAGAAAATGTTTAGAATGCTTTGGACACACGTAGTGGAGTTGCACTCAAGTAATGATTATATATTTTTATATGTATAATATTTTATATTAGTTTCAGAGACGATTGGTCTTATAAAAAGCGGACGATTGTTATTATAAAAAGCGGCGTAATAATTTGCGTTTATGTATTCTGTTTAAAATATAATAATAATTATGCATTTGAATGTATATCTCAATCAACAGCTGTATTATGAATCAGAAAGTTTGTAGCTTTAAACGTACTGCTAAATATTGAACTTTTAATAAAGCGACACATATTTATCAGTTAAAGTTGTCGTAAGCCAAAACATAGGCGAGAAACTGTAGGCGCTCAACTTAATTAATAGTGAATACATACATTTGTTATAATTGTATCAACAAAATTTTAACTCGGAACAATACACAACTGCTATATATCAATAAAATAATAACGTGAATAAATACATTATTTTTACAAATCTACAAGATTTTATTTAACAAATGGTATATATCAACAAGAAGTGTTGCTGAAAAATACACAATTGCTATATATTAACAAAATAAAGACGTGGGAAACACACGATTACTACATATCACAAAAATAATTACATGGAAAACACACATCTGCTATATATGATAACGTGGAAAACACACAATTGTTACACATCAACATAATAATAACGTGGAAAAACACATAATTGCTGTATATCAATAAAATAGTGACGTGAAAAAAACACTCAATTGCTATATATCAACACAATAATGATTTGGAAAAATAAAAACACACAATTGCTACATAACAACAAAATAATAACTTAGAAAAAAACGCCATTGCTTTATAACAACAAATACAAATTGCTTCTTAGAGTATATTTCATTTCTACAAAAATAGTAAAACAAAAAGAAAATGTCAAAGTTTGAAATTTAATTCTATATTGAATGTAGATAATAAGTAATAGAAGGAGCATCGAAACACGAGGCTATCTGATTTGTACGAGGGGGCGTAGCCCCCGAGTATTAATCAGATTGCCGAGTGTTTTGATGTTCTTTCTCTTTTGTATCATAGTCAAACATAAAAACACGTTCCCTGTTGTCACAATATGAAACCCCGGAGAAAAGTAACCAATGAACGAGCATCTAAATATGACATTTCTGTCGCTTTCGTCACAATAAGTAAACCCCAGCAAAAATGAGCCAATCAATGGGCATGCTCTGGAGTGCGGGTAACTAATACCTGCACTCCAGTTAACGCACGGTGCATGTATATGTATACGATTTAACTCGGACACATTTTCAACAAAAATGTCCCCAAACTATGATACAATAATGATTTAGTCGCTTCATTCATTTAACCCTGAAAGTGTTTTATACACAAAATACCCAGGTGTTAAAATACATGTAAATACACAGGTGTTTCAAAAATAAGAATGTCGTTGCATTGTCTTAATATCGAATATGGAAGAGAGGCAAAATAGACTATGTGAATTGTGTGATAAGCTAACAATTGAGGATGAATTTCATTTTGTACTGGAATGTAACATATTTAAAGACATACGTATGAAATATATTCCAAGATATTATAGGCAGAGACCTAGTATGATGAAATTTGTTGAACTTATGAAAACAGAGAACAAACGTTTACTTAATAACATCGCATTATATTTGTTAAAGGCATTTAACAAACGGCAAGAGTTGCTTAACCGTGATTAAAATACAACACTCTCGTAAATATGATAAAATGTGTATTTATATAAGAATATTATTGCCATGTATGTATATATTTTTTGTATATGTCTATATGCTGTACCATGCATACGACTAAATAAACCTTCTGTTCTGTTCTGTTCTGTTCTGTTAAACATAAACATTGCTGTGATATTTATAGTTCATATAATCATACTTATTAGAATTATATATGAGCCGTGTCATGACAAAACCAACATAATGGGTTTGCGACCAGCATGGATCCAGACCAGCCTGCGCATCCGCGCAGTCTAATCAGCATCCATGCTGTTCGCGTACAAATCCTATAACAAGTAGAGAAACTGATAGCGAACAGCATGGATCCTGATCAGACTGCGCGGATGCGCAGGCTGGTCTGGATCCATGCTGGTCGCAAACCCATTATGTTGGTTTTGTCGTGACACGATTCATATGTTTTACTCATTTAAAAATTATTTGTATGCAAATCTGGAAACAAAGTGATCCCCCGGAAGCATTAATAACAACAAAACCACATAAGAATTGTAGACTCGGTTTGATTGAGTCTGTACATGAGGGATAATGAATAAGTGCAACATCCCTCACGCCCCTAGCACCGGCTTGAGCGGTACTCAATTCTCAACACTTAATAGTGCTGGCATCAATGATCCCGAAGGACCGGAAAAATATAACAACACTGAAGTGAAGTACGGGGCAACTTTTTACAGCTGCCACACGGCACTTGACACCTGCTGTTGTGAAGTATAAAAATCTGCAAGTCCTTTGATAGAAAAAAAGGATAGTATAACGGACATTCCATTACGTCACATGCAAATGGATCATTCGGTCTTTGTTTCCAAATCAGGAAATCACAATAAGGCAGAGGGACTAGTTCCAAAACATAAACCCCGTTTTTTGTCATTTGAGCCGCGCCATGACAAAACCAACATAATGCATTTGCGACCAGCATGGATCCAGACCAGCCTGCGCATCCGCGCAGTCTGATCAGGATCCATGCTGTTCGCTTACCAACTCTATTACAAGTAGAGTAAGTGATAGCGAACAGCATGGTTCCTGATCAGCCTGCGCTGGTCTGGATCCATGCTGGTCACAAACGCACTATGTTGGTTTTGTCGTGACGCGGCTCATTTTAACCTTTAAATTGTAATAAGGTTATCCATTTATATGTTAGAACTAGTATCTTTCAAGGTTAAAGTAGAAAAGCACCATCATAACATATTACAGACCATATATTACGTGTACATGTATTCTTTCTATCTTCATAATGTTAAATAACGCAATTAACGCGTTTATGACTTATAAAAATATTTACTTAATTATCTTTTTTAATGATTAAATACTTAACATTCCTGTATATACTTGTCTATACGTACGAATTGTACGTAAAGGTACAAATGTAGTACCAGATTCTTAGTGTTTATGGTATTCCGAACAGTAATCGTACACACGACGTAATGTGATAAGATTAACATAATGTATCTAACTATATAAGTGAAAATTATCGCCAACGTTTCATCTTTCAACACGCTTCTGATAGTAAGAAATTTTAGATTTGTATTATAGAAGGTAAGAACTTTGAAGTTTGATTTTGTTTCTTAAGGTTTTGAATATATCTCAAAGAAATGAAACAAATAGTTCTTGACAGAAGTAAGTAAGCTTTCTTTAGTCGTTATGGCGTATATTAATTTTAGTTATGTTATATTCACAATTTATTTAACAATCATCAACTAAGGTTCTGTTGCTATTTGCGAGTAACAATGTTATTTCTAAGTGATTAAAACACAAAAAGTAAAAATGATTCAATTTGTACTTTTATTTCAGAACCATGTACACAGAAAGTTTCATCGTACTTGTTAGTATAGGACTGATACAGGCAAATGTGTGCTGTTTTCCTAAACAGTATGAAGCAAACCAGGGCTTGATGAAGGCAACCGTTAAAAATGGTCAACTTTCAATTCTGTATGTGAGTATCTTACAGTAAATTAAAGTATGTGTGATCTTAGTTTTGTTTAAAATACATATTTTTGACAAGATGAGCGATGGTATGTGGAGGAAGAATTAATACTTAGTTGTTCAAATGCAGGGATTATATATTTGAAATCGTCATTACAAAATATTTGTTTACATTGATTCGCAAGGAAAATGGTGGGTATATCTTCGCCACCTTCGAGAAAATTTTATAAATGTACAAGTTTACATTTATTTGTTTTCAGTTGTAATGCCATACATATGAATTGTGATATGACTTATCTGAATGAACTCAAATTAATTTTGTAGTTTGTAGCGATATATAACAAAACGAAAAAACAAAACATTACACTGAAAGGTCATAAAAACAGATTTTAACTTTACGAAAATATAGTTCGATCCAATAGATAAATTACTGATGAGCACACTATATATATATGTATTTTAAATTCTACTAAATCTTTTTTTCTTGTCAATATATGATGATAATATGTTACTACGATACTATGATACTTTGAATATGATGATATGCTAACTGCAAGTGGAAGTATCTCTTCTGTTCTGCTGTATTAAATAACTGGTTTTATATTTTCAGGGCAATCTTCACTATTGGTTTGATGGCATAAGCAAGAAAGAATTGTTTATAGAAGATCTTACAGTAGACGGTTACAATACAAGAGTTACCGTCCTTAAGGATTATAACGTTACGGTAAATGTGTAACAACATATACAACATTTCATCTTCAGCTCCGAATTGAAACTTTCATAATTATAAAAATTGTTCAATATTTTAAAAGTTTACTCAACTCACCATGGTATCTCTTTCCTTTCGTAGTACATGTACTTTAAAAGAAATTGTTTTGTATGATTGTTCAATGTAAATCACACAAATTGATATTGCATCTACAAAACAATTTCATAACTTTGAAAGTATACTTCCTTATTTCAGAATACAAAATATGTGATATCTGGCGATCGATGCAGTCAAAAAGCTTTGACTCCATTTAAAGAAGGCTGCATACCAGGTAAGTACCAGACATTTTATTTCTCAGAAAAATATAAATACATGAGTATAAATCAAGCTTAATAACGCAAATACCAGATAACGTGAAATCAGTGAAGGCAGAAACAAAGAAAACTGAATAAGACATACCTTTTGAAAACGAAACGAATATGACAGTATGCTATTCTCTTTTTGTATTTCAACATAGATTGGGCGACTAAACTTGTTTCCTCGAATTACGGCTCTCAAAATTCCGGCATGAATTTCAACGTATACAACAACAGTGCGGGCTCTGTAACGTCATTCCTTATTTCTACCCAGGACTGTTTTCCCATACTTGACGTATCCGCCATTCCGCACGGAGGTGAGTGGATATTAGTTTAATATTCAATGTAAGAGGATACATCAAGTACAAAAAGAGAGAGCTCTTTTACTCATTAAAAAGTGATATATGTTGATTATAAAACAGTATAGACATGATAGATAAAGCTAAGAAAGCCCTTATAGACATGCGTAACTGTTTACGTAACAATAATTTTACTGTTACAAGTTCGATTAATTGATTTATATAAAAGTAGACAAGAATGATCTTAGGGCATTGCTTTATAGGAACTTGTTACTGATTTTTCTTAAAGAAATATCTGATTACAGTAGTAAGGCAGCTAAACGAGAAGATGCTCCAAATCAACAAAAATGACTTTGCCAGTGATAAGGGCGTATGATCACACAATCTGACAAATACAGCGCAAATAAATGATTATTGTTCTTGAGAAGATATACATGATATTTGTAATTTTACCTATGTTTTACATTAAAATAGAAGATATAATCTCTATTTCAGCGAGCCCCTACATGCAAGTTGTTATGCCCTACAACTTTACAGTTGGTATAAGTGACAGCTCAGTGTTTGACATACCAGCTATCTGTAAGCAAAGCTCACTGGTAGGGAAATAATACCTCGACGTTCAACGTGCAAATAGTTCTTATTGACAGATTATCGAAACTTGATGCAAAAATGTAATACAAAGCTTGTTTAAAATTATATGAAAAAAAAACAGTATAAAAAGAAAAAAGAAACTTTTAGATATAAGATGAATACTAAAAGACGGTTTGTTGTTTTGCATACTTAACATTAAATGTTACTTAATTTTTATAACACCGATTTCAATATAATTATATCAATTTCAGATAATAAAGACGAAAAAATAAACAATTCTTATTTAATTCTTTGTTTAACTAAGAGTTACAAAATTATATAGTGAATATAGTGACAACGACTCTTTAAATCAAGAAACATACACTGACAGAAAATCCAAAAAAAAATAGGTTGCAATGTTGTTTTTAATGAATAATCCGGCTAAAAACCAAACACGGATACTATTTTGATACATTAAGCGGAAGTATTGAACAATTGAAAGCAATGTTACGCCTTATTTATATTTGACAAATTTATGACAAGAAATAAGAAGCACATACTTAGAGAGATTTATAACCATGTTGTCAATGAATACAAATTCTAACAAATAATATTAAATTAGAAAATAGTAATACACATAATTCGTTTTCTATGACGTGTTTCATGTATGCGTATATATCAGTCATTTATTTAGTAAGTGGTAGAGCTTTGTGATGTGATATTTAAAAAAAATTCTATCAGTTTAAGTTGTTAAAGAGTTTTGTACAGAACAACCATTTTGATAACAAAGGGAACACATCTACACCCTTTTTCACGTTTATCTCTAAATAAATACGTATTTATAGTAACAACCTTATTTTTGCATGCTCGGTTTACTGAAATGATAATATGCTGGTTACAGGCTATATAATAGATGTTTTCTTAAAGATCTTGTAGAATTGTATATGGTTTTATACCAAAAATATAATGCTCAAATGAAGATTTATTAATATTGTAAGTTCCAAAAAGCATTATTTGTAAAGATATAACCTAATTTTATATTTCATGTTAATAAACGGAGGTTCTCAGAATTCTTTTTCCTATAAGGTCTAAGTCAAATTTTTCAATAAGAAATGAATTAATGCATATATTTTAATGAATACATATAATGTTGACAAATATTTGCAGTACATATTTTACATATTCTTCGATGTTTGAAAATTGTTTGAGAAGCATAATTATATAAATATATATTTCACATAAGTTTGGTAACAAACTAAATTACAACATACAGGATCTTTAAATCAGAAATTATAAAAAATACATCTATTACAAAATGAAGCTCTTACTTCAGTAAGTTACATGCAACATTTTCTTTGATTTATTGGACTTTTTACATACCCTATTACATGTACATCTGTTTCTTTAAGGAATCTATGAGAAGATACACTTTAAATGAGAGTATTGTAGTTTTCATTCTTTATATATGACTGGTATATATGCAAATGTTTTCCGAGTCCAAAACATTATAAAGCAAATCAAATGCTGATGATGTCAACAGTAACAAAACAGTTTTATTCTTATTATCATGGTAATATACATCACAAGTGTTTCACAATACATATTTCATTAACACCAGGACCTGACCTTATTTAAAAAGATTGGATTTCCCTTGTGTCTTGGGTTTCTTTAAAGGGTTGAGGCATCAGAATTTATCTCTGATCGTAAGAGGCGACTAAATGGGTTCGAATAACTGAGGTCTATGCAACTCTAAGCTCAAGCAGATGATGTAGTTTTTACTTTAAGTTTGTAACGCCCGAGGTTAGCCAAACTACTTTCCTATTCCTGCGCCAAAAGACCTATACTTTGTTGTGCGCCGTAAATAACCAAACAAAATACATAGATCTGGATAAAAAGGGAGATAATATAATGCAGGGTCGTACTCTCAGTGCCTGAAAGGGCGGATGGACCCTCATTAAGCCTAGAATACATGCAGTAAAGTCGCCCAAAATTTTGAGATGTAGGCCGGGCTTCTATCCTTTTACTGTGTTGTTAATAATATCTAAATCATCATTCCTTCTTGCTTAGAGAAGTTTACAAGCTTTCATGTGATATCATGTGAAATGTAATCATTTAAACATTAAAACTAGGACATTGGTTTGTTTAACTACCCAGCTATTATAAACCGGTGTTATCAGTTATCATTAAGTTATATTTAGATTCCAACGCGGGTATACTCATGTGAGATACTACAATATTAATACATCGAAGGATTTTATAAACAGGTAAGTTGTTTACATATTAATGAAATTTCTTGTCATATTTTAACTTATATATGTTCATTATCTTAGAAAAGTCATTAATATTGAGATATACTTGTATGGGATATTGCAAACACGTGAACAAAAACGTTTAATTACAGACTTAATAAATGATGCCTTGTTTAGATATTTTATATGAGTTGTGGTGCCACATACTGTGTTTATAAGGTATGCCAAATATTAACTGTTCATTATTTCAACGTCTCCTCCGTGTAATGTTCATAAACGCTTGTATATGTTGTATTTAGCTTATCTGGATAGAAGCAACGCTTATTAACAGGTTGAATATGAGGTATCGCATTGAAGGGTGCATTAAATCGCTTGAAATTTCAAAAGTAGAAATGATTCCTCAAAAGTAATTCCTATGCTATCACTTTGACATTTATCATACATGTTATCATGATTTCAATCTTCGTCTAGAAATAATTCATTCACATAACAGGTGGCAAAATAAGTCGTAATACAATTATATAGTAATCTTTCTTTTTTTTCGAATTTGTCAGGAACTCAACATTACCGAGGTAATACATTGTAAACGACATTTAAAACAAAATTATAATGAACTGTTTGATTCTATTTTATATGAAGTCAAGTCAATTTTCATCTTGACTTAGCATTTAGAATGGCGTTACGTTTGCTGAGCCTTGTGGCGCTATGTGTTGTCACTGTTTATGGACAAACCAAGTACTGCTGCCATCCGGTGACCTGGGAATCCGTTAACTTTCTTCATGAAGGACAAGTTGCCTCGGGAACAAAGAAAGCAGTATTTACTGAGGTTCGTTTATACATACTTTTTAATACAGTAAAATTAGAATATGTCGGTCGAATGCTGAACATATATAATCATTCTTATTATAACAAATGTTAAATATGCATCAAATATATTTACATTTTGTACTTAATAAATAATATTCTGCTTTAGCCGGTGATAGGGGATTAAAGACGGTAACACTTACTACTACCGTTCGTGAACAAGCTAAATCAAACCAGGGTCTTTCAAATAGAAATTTTAAAAGACCCTGATCAAACCGAGCCTTCAATATTCATAACGTTTTGGACGTTCTTTCGGGATACCTTTTTTCTAGCTGTGTCCTTGTCCAATAAAAATCTGAATTGCTTTAAACAATTTATAACAATTTGATATCATCACAGGGTACTGAAATGACGTCAGTTGACGGGGACGGACACAGGATAGCTTCACTATCAACACTGAATTCTGGAGGATTCAAAGTCAATGTACAGATAGTACAACTCTTTGATAAGGTAAATTACATTACATTAAGTGTAAGGATTCTATGACTCACCGTTTAAGTGTGTAAACTCGCCAAACTGTGATCATTTCCAGATCTCAGTAGTTCCTCGAAGCAGTTCTTTTGCTCCTGGCCATACGATGCTCATTTGGTTTATATAAGATGGGGAAAATGGCAGCCTTTGTAGTATCTACACTTATTTGGTATATAAGACACACGCAAAATAGGAACTTTGTCATAGGTATACTTACTTAGAATCTTTAAAAACAACACTAAAATGGCGGCCTTTGTATAAACTACACTAATTTGTTATACATGTATATGAGACACTGAAAATGGCGGCCTTTAATTGTCATATTTACACTTATTTGGTACATTCTAAGGTAAGGAAAGTGGAGACCTTTATGATAACTTCACATATTTGAAATATTTAAGATGTAGGAAATGGTTAGCTTTTTTAACAGATACACTTATTTGGTATATATTATATACGGATAACGGTATACTATCACGCTATGCTGTCTAATCGACACTTGGTGTTTACATTTGGTGTTTACAATAGGGAAATTACGAGCTTTATAATATACCTAATATCTTATTTGGTATTGTGTAAGACACGGAAAAAACAGGCTATAGGTGGTCGTATGAAAAACTACTGGGTATTTAAGACAACGAAAATGTCGAGCTTCAGATGGTCGCATCGACACTTATTTGGTATATCAAATATTCGGAAAACGACCAGCTATTTTATGTGATTCAAACCATACTTGGTAAGTATGAGACACAGGAAATAAAGATCTACGCTTGATCGTATCGACGATTATTATAATTTTAGTACACAAAAAACTGCCATATAGACACTTATAAAACAACATGGTCTTGACTTCGGCGCCTTTTCTGAATGCTTAAGATGTTGTAAGGGCCCATTGTACTTTACTGGGCTTTGTTTTTGTTTGCTGATATACTGTTTTGTACTATTTATTTAATGTTATGTAATGTATTTTATGTGATGAATTGCTACTGCAGGGAGTAATGTACACAGTACAGAGTGGAGAATGCAAGCAGACACAGTTACCTCCCTGGACGCCAAAATGTGTACCAGGTAAGAAATTAAAAACAGAAATAATAACAAAATGTGTCCCAGGTAAGAAATTAAAAACAGAAATAGTAATTCAATTTCTATGGCGCATCACACAGATAAACAGAGACATTTTGTTGGACATCGACAGCTGTCTTACTATAAAAAAGTACTTAAATAAAACATGAACGTTTGTCAATGATATTTCAGAGTATTTTACGGAAAACATTTTTATGGTGTGTCTATGTCTTTAAAATCTTCTGTTCCACAAGTGTTGTATCCGTTATCTATTACTATCATATTTAATAATTATGAAGTTTATCGGACAAATCGATACGGGATATTTTCTTGGTAAGTAACCAATGAACATTAAAATCTCTGGACGACTTAAAGATGCTTTTAATATCTTGGTACAGTTTTCAATTTGTTGGGGTCTCAGAATGTAAGAAAGGTACAGGTTGTGAGTTTATATGTATAGTGCCACCAATGCTTTCCAGCGTTTTAATTGTAGTAAATTGGCTATAAGACTAATTACAACATTGATATTCAATCCAATGTTTATTTTAATTAAACAATTTGAAAAAAAAAATGAGTTACCTTTACTGGGATTTGAACTCCAGACCTCTCGCTTCCTAAGCGAGCGCGAAAACTCTTCAGCCACGGTGAATTTATATGTGAACGGCCTGAAGAAAACCATATTATTTTAAATTAGGGCTTGTAACGACTTTAACTGTTGTTTAACACAGATGTAAATAATCCTGGAGCTTACTATAAGCATGTATATTTATAAAGAATCAAAGGGCTGCAAGTTCTCTGGTATTTTCTGATCTTTGCAATCTAAATCGTACTGTATATCTGTATGTATTTTCCTGTATAAGTTTATTTTTATGTATTATAATTCATTTTGCAAGGCACCAGAGTTTGATACATACGGAATTCTGCATAACTAGAGTTGCATCAAAAAATCATTTATGTTCATTTTTTACGACAGCCACACTTTATCCTTGTATATCATGGCTACTTCCTTAACAAAGACACTTAAAAAAGAATTTAAAAACAAAAATGTTTCCTCGACTGGGATTTGAACTCCAGACCTCTCACTCACTAAGCGATATATTCCACTACTCGGTTTGTGTAGTATTCGGTAATCGACATCGCTAAAAATAGTATTTTCATTGATAAAATCATATTCATCCGCGTAATTTGTGATTGTGCATTTATTGACAATTCTATAAGCCAACGCTATTTTTAAACTTTGAATGCGTTGTAATTTGTTGGATACTTGTAACAAAATAAAAATATTTCTTTCTTTTAAATCGCTAGTTTTAAGCTGTTTTGAGAACTACTTGTTGTTAGGTTTGTCGTAAACTTCTGTGTCAGAGATTGAATGTCCGCTTTGTATTTACTTATTTTCGATCAGAAAATACAATAAAACAATATTAGAAATCTTCGACCATTCGGGAATTATTTTGCTTGAAAATTAATGTGCCTGTCTTTGACCATCTTTACGCAGTGATCTCCCCTGAATTTTTCGGCGTTAGTGTACATATAAAAGGAAGTACCGCTTCAAAAAAGTGGACTACTTTCGGCATTTGCAATTAACAGCATTAGACTCTGAAATTTCGCTACCATTATGTTTGGTCTGACGACCCAAACAAATAAAAATACTCATTTGCTATATACATTAAGCTTTCTTTTGCTGATTTTGTAATGTTGGCAATTTGTATAATTATAGTGATTTAGCATTTTGTATGGAAGCCAAAATACTACTTAGTTTACATTTTGCTACATTTACAACACATAACTGCAACTTCAGTGCTACTTCTTTAGTTGTTCAACATCTAATATGTTCTTAATCCGTTATAAACACATTACTTTAACACAAATTTGACATTTCTAAAGAATTATTAAATAAAAAAGAATATTGATTACTGATGCATAATGTACCTTTAGATATCTTTAATTTGGATGTAAATTCAACAACCTTTCGACGTTTCAATGACACTATTTGATCTTGTTTTAATACAAGCTTTTCCTTTTTAAAGACAGTGCAACACTTCTAAAACACTCATACTACGGAGTTGGCGACGATAAAATTGATATAGACATATATGGTATACAGTCCGGGCCTAACACTATATATCTGACAGTATCGTCTGCTGACTGCACGCCCATGTACCAGTCTGCTTATGGGACGGCCTGAAGGAGGTCAGTATTTACAACATTTTATCACTCTTTTTGGCCATTCTAAATGAGATTAGACTCAAATAAACTTAGACATACTACTAAATTGTAAAGAGCATAGCGTATTTTATCAAAAAAGGAAGAATATGAATTAAAATAGATATTACAATATTTCTTATTAAATTTGAAATAATCATCAATATTTGCACACGTGCTACAAGCATGTGAGAATATTTTCAACCATGTTGTTTTCATCGCAAAATTTCATATTTGTAGTAGAAATAATTTCCTTTATTCCCTTAATGAAGTTAATCTGCTTTTCATCAGAATAGTTTTCTGTGTTGTTTATACCTCACGTAAAACCTTTTACTATATAGCCTTATGTCACGTTTCATGGTGTTATTTATCCTGAAAATGAATATCTTTTGCAATGTTCCCCAGGGGCGAGTAATCTATATAGACTGAAGAAAACTTAAAATGTTTTAGTTTCTCTCCCCTGATAAAAAATGCAAAGCGGTGAAAAATTACATTCGTAACACATGTCTCTCAAGGACATTTCAAGCAACCCTTGAACTAAAAAGAAACACCCTCGGGGGTTTAATGTGTGCTAATATGCACTATCCCCCCTGAAAGACGTGTTATTTTTTAATAATAACATTATATGAACTATATAAAACACTAGTACATGAACATGTGCAGTTCATCCAAGACACATACATTATACAGACGCTCATTGTTGAGGTAATATCAAAAATATACACAACTTTTCCTCTTTTTCAGTGTCGGGATTGGGCTTTAAATCATACACGAATATTACTCTAGGGATCAAGGATAAAACAGTGTTTTTGATTGTGCCAGCAATATGTACCAACGCTACAGTACACCCAACGGTTAAATCTCTATTCTTTAATGCAAAGTCTACGTTAATAACCTTAACCTTTGCGAATTATAAATTTATTCTAAGCTCCCGCTTTTTGAGAGAAAAAAACCTTGATTAGTCTTGCCCACCCATACTCGTTTATGGCAAAAAGGTCAAGGTTCAAAAGGACATTTTTATTTTTATACAAACTATCTCTTTATATATATATATTGCCGTTTATAAAAAACACACAGAAAAAAATGGTCCTCTCAGTTGTTTTTGTTTGTTGTTGTTGTTTTTTTTTTGTTAATGAACATGGCAAGTTATTCGGGAGCAAAAGTTATCATCTTAAGAGATTTTAACTTCGTCAGTTTCTTTCTTTTACAGATGTATGTTCCAAAAACACGGATTGTAACTGACAATAGACAACAGAAACACAGATAACAGCTAGCTATTGATGTTTATTGTTATCAAAATGCGAACAGCGAGGTTACCGAACATGTAATTTGACTATAATAATGCTTTTCTGATTTTGTGTTTATTGGTTTAAAGTATTAAAAAACTGAAAATAATAATTTTGTGTTTTTTTTTGTCTATTTTGTACGTAGATATAAATATCTGTTGGAATATTTCTTTTACCCAAAGGTATTCAAATTAATTTATCGTAGTGAATCCGGACAGCCAAATTAATGCTATAATGCTAACAGGAAAAGAAAAATATGTTTTTATGGGTATAAAAAGGGTTGTCAAGTGGACAAATTTTAGCTAATTTACCCTAAAACCATTGATGAATTTGTTTGTCTGGTGGCTGTTTTTGTGCCATGTCGTATATTCGCTTCGCGGGGGCCAGACGAAAAACACACTAATATGACAAAAGTGTTTCCTTCTGAAAACAAGATAATCAAGATAATGCGACATAGTCACCTCTTTGTCGTATTTCGTGATTTCGCCTGGCGCTCAGCGGAGCAAAAAATACGACATGGCAAGAAATCAACCCACCATAGGTATACATTCAATCTGATTTTAAAAACATTAATCAGAATAAAAAAACTTACCTACCAACAACGCCGGGTCACAACAGATGGGTAGGCTGGGAAATGGATTAATTACCGAGTTAAAGCACATACTAAACCTACAAAATTACTTTACAACTTATTAATATAAACATAAATAATCTTCCTGCAAGACATGTGACCGGAAGATTGCATGATAATGTTATTGAGTGGAGTAGACATGTGTTATAGGTTTCTTTTTAACTTAGCACAGTGTCAATTTGATCATAAATGTTTTTTAATACCTGTTTTTTTAAACAAGTCAAAACTAAAAATGGCTTAAAATTAGAAATAAATGAGTAAGATTTAACCAAAATTCCATATAACATTGTATGTCGATAAGAATAATGACCACATTGTAAAATCGTTTATTTATCAACAAAGAACTTGCTTTTTGGAAATGCAATGTTGTTTTGTTGTTTTCAAATTGCAATCAGATAATGCAAAAAAAAAAAAACCACACACAATTAAAAACAATAGAAACGGAAAAAAAAAAAAACAAAGGAAAGGAACGAAAAATTAAATATATATAAAACTCCCCCCCCCCATTTTTTTTTTTTTAGATTCTATCAATACTCGGTTTATTTTTTATATCATTTTAACATATACCAGTAACTATAGATCAATTACAAAAGGTGTAAACAGCTTTTAGTATTTTGTGTATTACTATGTTTGTATTTTCTTACAGTAAATATTTGTAATTCCATCATCTATATATGATTGCTCATGTGTAGTTGTAGTTGAATTTTCTGCGGGAAAAGCTTTTGAACATCCGGTTCCTGCCCATTTGAATGGTTTTTCTCCCAGTATGCAATCTCTCATGCACTACACGTGTATATTTACTATTAAATGACTTGTGACAGTATGTACATTTTAAATCTTTGGTTGTCACGGTGATAACGCTGATGCTGAGTAAGTGAAGACCTCCCTTCACAAAACTTCCGGTCCACATGTCTTGCAGGAAAATGGCGTATTTCGGTATGGAAAATTTTATGTGGGTTAAAAAGGTGGAAAGGAACCCGGGAATTTTTTTGTTAAAAAATTCACAGGAATTTTACAATGCAAATCCCCTTTTATGTTTTAAAAGAAAAAACCCAAAACAACAATTTTAAAACGGGGACCCAAACCACACTTGGGACATTTTCCCTTGTTGATTGTGAAAATGCTTTGTTTTCCCTATCCCCTGCTTCCCCTTTGTTTAAATTCCCTTTTTTCAAATCCCAAATTTTAAATCCCCCTTGGGATAAATAATTGCAGATATGATTGTCGCCTTGTGCCATCCGTAAATTGTCCCCTGTACCAGAAAAGAATTTAACAAGCGTGGCAAAACCAATAAATTACTAAAACCAATGCTGAATCATAGTTATTCAAACGGTCCGCTTTGTCCTAACTGGAAATTCTCCGCACTTGTGATAATTTGTTAAACAATAGCCGGCGTCGACGGTTCAGTTGTATTTTAAGATTGCGTTTTGTATCACCAAAGTTAAAAGCTTCAATTTGAGAACGGAAATGAGGAGTTTATTTCTTATAACATGTACCTGTTTGAATTTTCAAAATCCAATGCTTTTTCCTGAGCATGTATAACCAAATTTGATGTTTGAATAAGAAACTGGGACCTTTGTTCTTTTAGACTGGGGACAGCTAATCATTGTCCCTAAATTCAGTCTTTGGGAATCCACTGCCTGCACGTAAGTCTGTTATGATCCCATCAAAGGCTATCAACATGTTTGGCCGCAAATAATTTTGGTAGAGTTTAGATCTACGGGGCATGTCTTCAGCGGGTCGTTTTTCCTCCAGCCGCTGGCATAATATGTGACATCAATGCCCTTCCATTTTCCTGAAATATCGGAAAAGATTAATTATTCAATATTTATTCAATTAAATTACAATTTTCAAATTAGCATATTGAAAACATATTACATATTCATCCATACATTCAATTATTATTGATATTATTAGAGCTTTATTAAAAAAATCAAACCAAAACTGTAGTTTAAATAAATGAATAACTAAAATTGATTTTTCTTACCTGAAATTTAAAATGGTTTGACAAACAAGTTTATTGCTGTTTCTCGCTAGTGATATTTTCTTTGCTGATTCCTATTAAGAAATGAAAGATAAAATTTTAAATGATGATTGAATAGGAAAATTTTGCCTATAATAGTTACGATACCAATACAAATTAAGGTATAGTTTTAAATTAACTCCAAAATGCGCAAAGGGTAATAAAAATTTGACCACAAGCTACCCTAACACTGACAACGTCCAAAGCCTTTATTTTTTTTCACAATACGTTCAAGATTTTGTACGTTGGGCCTTGTAATTAAGTTCACACGGCTTTTGTATATTATATGCATTAGCACCTATACATTGTTTGTAATTCATCGTTAGGCATTAATAAAACAACAACACTAAAAACAAATATGCTCTGTATATTTTGATTTTTTTGACTAAAACTAAGAATCGATTATTTGTTGTAAGAAAAGATATTTTTAGAAATTACCAATGCACATTGTAATGTATCATACAACGTGTAAAGCGAGTGAAGCATGCTACCTGGGTACCCGGTAGTAATGTTACACCCGAGTTACAATCTATATTTAGATATAATTGTGTTTTATACTGGCTTGAGGTTGAAATATATGACAAATCTCATGGATGGTAGACAAAATGTTCAGGTATCTTTTTTTATAATAATTGCTTAAAATCGAAATAATCTGTATTTAATTTGATAATACATGAAATATTAGACCTCGGCGCTATTTAATTATGTTTACAATTAGTACCTTTACATATCGTTATTGCAAGGAGTGTAATAAAAGTAAACTTTTGTTATTTACCTTGTCAAAAATCACGTATTTATATTACATTTTGCATAATTTCGCAAGATCAATCTACTCAATATATATATTTATTAAGTGACTTTCATGCAACGATTGTGATGACATCGTTGTATTCAAACTGATACAGTATCGATTGAGTAGTTCAAGAACAACAGTTTTATAGGTATAAAGCTTTATCCAGGTGCGTAGCTACCTTTACTTGCACTATTTTCATAATTTTACTTCTACTCCTTTAAAACAGTATACATGTAATTATAATAAAGTAGTATATATTTTTTTTTGCTTGTACATGGACATTTTGTTAAAAAGCGCATTTGAAGACATACGTAAGTAATCACAGTAATACTCTAGGCATAAACTACGAAAGACCGGTGGTGACATGTCAACTTCTTGACTTCTCGGGTTCATCTTCACGAATTCACAATTTTTCAACTTTATGAATTCACGATTTCAATATTCAGAATTCACGATTCCAAATTTACGAATTCATCTTCGCGAAATCATGTTTTGAAATTCACGATTTCAACTTCATGAGATTGAAATCGTGAAATATAGAACTTGAATAATGAATTTGAAATTGTGAATTTGTGAAGTTTAAATCGTGAATTCGTGAATTCCATATGTTGAAAACGTGAATTGACGAAGTAAAATTTGTGAATTTCACTAAGTTAAAATTGTGAATTTCACTAAGTTGAAATCGGGATTTCATGAAGTTGAAATATCCCCACCGGTCTTTCGTATTAAATTGCATACTGGTGCGGTAACATGTCACTAACGGTTAAATCATGCTCATTTCCATAGCTCATAAATGTGCTCTATTGACGTTTGTCATATGTTTTGTCAATGTCAAAATAATTGAAACGGGGTTAATACAATACAAATGTAATAAACTGCATTTATTTCAGAATGCATCTTAAGTTGGCATACATTTTGGCGTTTTATTTTGCCATTATTCCTGGACAAACAAAATATTGTTGCTATCCTGTAACATGGGAATCTGTTAACTTTGAAAGAGATGGATTAGTTGGGCCAGGATCAAAGACAGCAGTCATTAATGAGGTGTGTAGACTTTATATTGATGTTTAGATTTAGAAAACAACACATTTCGGGATAAAAATGAAACAAAAAAGTTTACGGATGCTTTAAACTAAGCTTTAATTACAAAAGAAACGTGTGATAACAGTTTTATTTACTATACATTATTTGCCGTCTTTTAAATTTAATTGAAATAACAATTGAACAAAGTCGTACAGTATGGTCAGCAACATGTTTCTTTACTGTTTCTTCGCAAACAAACTCTTTGGCAAGAACCATTGTCACTGGATAATAACTGATCATGTTCTACTTTTATCATAGATAACAGAAAAGTTGTCAGTTGATGGAGTTAATCAAAGAATCGCTTCATTTTCGATAGTAAATACTGGGGGGTACCAGATCAAAGTACAGATTCTACAGCTATATAACAAGGTAACTTGATTTAAGATAATCGGAAGTCTTCAGCTGAGCCCTCACCATCAACTCGATTGGTCATGGTCGGGGACTGGTCTGTCTTACTCGATGGTCTACCTGGCTATAGGTCGTATATAGGTAGGAGATGGGACGGGTTGTCCGGTTAAGATCATAATGAATTTGGAAATGAGTGTACATATGTCGTGCGTGCAACCTGATCGTACTTGTACGAACTTGGAAGAGAATATTTGTAATATAATTGTAATATAATTATCAGCTTGTTTTAAAAGACGATCAAGCGACGGTTGGTCCTAGTCGATATCGTTTTGGCTTCCAAAGGATTAAGAAGTCAGGTTCTAGAAAAGGTTTCGGATAACTATATCAAATCTATATATGACCATACATTGATCATAAAGGTATCGTTTTGGCATTATTGACATCTCATGTCATGATGTTGAATAAATTAGTCGTGAATGCAGTGATATTTCTGCTTGTGTTCTATATTGCATATACCCCAGTGTTATCTTTACATAATTTTGGTTAGGTAAATAAATATATAAATAACTTCTTTCAAACGATGCAAAAATAGAACCATAGAATATACTTCTAACAGGCTATTATTATGGATTATTTTTAAATATGGAAATTCTAAGAATCTTGCATGAGAATAAGGACAGTGTTTATAATTGCAAAGGACATGTCTGTTATATAATTACTTCTTTAATAACAGAACAGAACTGATACTTTATTTAGATTTGTACAATTTACATCATCTCGTATATAATACAATAATATTTACAAACATAAAAGTCCGTGTGTACATTTAAAGGTAAGATATATTCAGAAGATACCTAAAGGAAGTCAAGATCCGTGTATACGTAAGATTTCATTTGATTCTCTTTCTACTGTCACTGATTGCGTGTTGTGTTGTTTTGTTTTGTTTTTATCAGAACATCATGTATATAGCTGAGGGCGGTACATGTAAGACATACAAACTACCACCATGGAATCCAATCTGTGTCCCAGGTAGGTTGGTATCACCTGTCTTTAAATGATTTAGATAAGTTGTATTATATCCAATGTGTGACCGGTAGATAAACTAGTTATTCTTCCTTTATAAATGGTGTTGATTTCGATTAAATGAAATCAATGCCTTAGATACTTCTGTGTGTCGGATATATAGCCTATACCTAATGTCGTGCAAGTATCATGGTCTCGTTTGGTATTCAATATTCTAAATGTTACGCTAGAAAAGTCCAGGTCGACATTCAACCGAACGCGAATGTCGTGCTGAATGTAACGTCGACAAAAGGTTTGTCCACAACTCAACTGACAACAAATGTCGTGCTGTCGTGCAAGCCGGACATTCCTTGTCGACATTTTCACTGAATTGTGATTTTTTGCCAGATTCACAATCTTACACAATATTTCAATTTATTTTTATACACGCAACGTGACTTGAACGATAAAATGGATATTTAGCTCTAAACTTTCCAAATGCAAGACAATTTTTTATGTACTTAATTGTAACCTAACTTGTACGGTAATGTTTCTGAAACAACAACAACAAATATTACAGATAGTGCTACTCTAGCAAAGAAGACCTATTACGGATTTAAGGACAAAGTTGACGTGGATATATACGCCGTAGTTTCAGGCCCGAAAACAAGCTACTTGACAATGACACGTGCAGACTGTGTCCCCGTTTATCAAGCATCTTATGGACAATCACAAGCTGGTTTGTTAATTCAATTATTTACCATCACTTTAATATAGTAATATCTTCAACTCATTTGTTATTTGATCATTTGTCTGAAGTAACCACATTTATTACAGGAACTCCCCTGAGATCCAAAAGCCTTAAAACATAGAATTTACATTTCTTGACTAGATAAGCTTTGGCACATATGAAACATATGCCAAAGGTAGTAAAGAAATATATTTAAAGTCATATTTTGGTGATGTTCTTAGTCCGATTTTAGTGAAAAGCGTTGCGACGCTTTTAAGTTGGGGTCATTTTTCACAACTAAAATTATTATTCAGAAAAACGGAATGAGAAAATGATCTGACATTTTGCACACAAGATATTGGTCTAGACCTAGGTCAAACGGAATGTTTATTACAAAAGAGTTATTACATGGCCCATCATGTCAAAATTCCTCAGTGGAATCCCTTTAATTACACTATGTAGAATAATGAATGGTGTTTCATTTCAGTGATAGTAATTTTGTTGTTGATAGTTCAAATGACAGATTTAAATAAATTTTTGCTTAAAATTCGAAAAGAATATAATCTAAAGACAAAAAGTTTTTTTTCTAGAATTCTGTTTTATCTAAAACTGTTTTTGGAAACCTTCGGAATTGACAACCTATTTTTCAGGATCTGAGTTGAGTTTTAAGACATTCAGTGACATAACTCTTGGAATAAAAGACCAGTCAGTCTTCGATATTCCATCAAGCTGCACCAACATCACGAGTATTCCGACGGTAAGTTTAGTATCATTATCTCTTTTTTTACGCATGGAAATGAATTTTGTATACCATGCTAGGACGGCCGAACCATTTGGAACACCTTGCCTTTTATCGTCTCGGAAATAATACGCAATGGAATTTGTGTCTAGTGACTTTCAGTGAAAAAGCAGACAATGTAATCATAACGAGTAACGAATAACGAATGTTTATTTGACATCCGTTTCTCGTTTCCGTTTGTATATCAGTATTTATTCAAGACATTCAGTTTAATTCACATATAAACAATTTTCAATAGTAATTTTCTTGTATTTTCGGTTTCTAAAGTCATGTAGTCATGAGCACATGAATAATGTACTTTTTAAGTATAAATTTTAGATAAATAGCTACGGCTCTTGTTACTTTCAATCAGATGTGTCAACAATATTTTCACGGTAATCTTTGGTGCTACAACATCTCAGATAAAATTCAAATCAAATTGTACACGATACAATGAAATAATCAACTCAACAAATGCAGCATGAAGTTACTAATTGTTTACATGTTTATATTGTGCGGCTAATTCCGTTCCAAGTATTCATACTATTGAGTTCGGTGCGGAAAGGGTCGAAATGTCTTGATAGCGGTATATACTTGTAAGATGTCATCTTTGAATGCAAAGAGTAATCGATTAAAACATCAAGCTCTTATTATTTCAGATAATGGCGAAAAAGCATGGGTTGTACTGGTCAATCGGGTGACGCGAGGATGTGAGGGGATACAAGAATGTGTGCATTCTATAGGCTTAAATAATTAAAAATAGACAATTTACATATACATTAACAGTTTATTTTACTTTTTAAAACGTAATAAAAACTTGATATCTGATATTTATGACTACAATAACAATTAATTATCACTGTACAGTAGTGTTAGCTTTATGTATAAACATATAGCTGAGATTATGATAAATATCACTTTCAGTTCATGTGTGTATTCATGTGTAGTTGTAGTTGAATCTTCTGCGGAAAAGCTTTCGTACATCCGGGTTCCTGGCATTTGAATGGTTTTTCTCCAGTGTGCAATCTTTCATGCACAGTTCGAGTATATTTACTATTAAATGACTTGTAACAGTATGTGCATTTAAATCTTTGGTTGTCACGGTGATAACGCTGATGTTGTGTAAGTGAAGACCTCTTGGCAAATTTCCGGTCACATGTCTTACAGTAAAATGACGTACTTCCGGTATGAATATTCCTATGATCTAGCAGGAGACTGTTACTAGTGAATTCACGGTCACATGTATCACAAAAATGACCCTCATGAAGACGTTGATGTTTAGAAAAGAAACATGTGGCAACTATCTTGTTATCACAAAGGCTGCATTCAATTTGCTTTTCGTCAATGTTAATGTGTTTTGTAACATATCCATTCTTATGAAACAATTCTTTCTTCAAGTTACATTTCATACCTTGCATATAATGAAGATACTGGTGCCTTTGTGAGTCATTTTCGTCTTTGCACAAACTGTTACATGCATGACACCAATATGATATTCTTAACACTTCACGAACTTGTGGTGATGCGGCTTGTTTTTCTGTTGCTAAGCAACAAGTAGTAGAATGGTAATTATAAACTTGCGCGGGAGCTGATCTTGTTGCGCTTTCTGTATCCCCCAAAAGTGCTTCAATTGAAAATGGATGAGGTGTCCGTCGACTGAGATCGTTTGTTGTTTGTTTTACACGAACGGGCGCTGTAGATTCCAACTCAATATTCGAATCGCAACTGGGACGTAAGTCGGTTTGATCGACGAAGCTATCACATGTTTGACGTAACTTTGGTTGTGTAAGATCTAGAGGGAAATCCTGTCCCGGTAGCTTGATCCCTGCAGCTTGCTGCATGATATGTAACATTATATCTTCCATTTTCTGTAAAAAAATATATATATTCAATGCTTAGTATACATACAGTTTAAGCCGAGTGGAATACTTGTGAACTGTTGTTCATATATTTGTTATTTAAGTCTTATTCTTAACAGACATTTGTCGATAAATTTATGTTTAATTTAATTTTTACTGAAAATAGAAAATTTACACAGTAACCCAAACATCAGTGATACTGATTATCGTGACATTATGTAGAATAATTATATTTTTTATCTATGCTACGATGATATAAAATATGTCTTTATATTTATCGAAAGTCCAAGATTATTTCTAGCCTATTTTCTCCGTTTATTTTATGCCATAATTCCAATTATGTATGTATCCAAAGTAAAAACTTACCTTGATGTAATATAAAATTTACGTATGTAATATTTATATCAATGTTACAGCTCTTCAATACTATTTGTTGTATGTTTTAATTATCTAATTATTGTTAGATTATTTCAATGATGAATAAGTCGAGTTATGACGAATTGTGATTGAATGATGAAGCAATTTGATGTGTTTGTTTATAAACAGAAATTTTAACAACACTCTTTACTCAAATTGCACGTTGAGTATAAGCGCTTGTTAACTCCAAACTGTGGAAAGTGCGCCCCCTGTAATCAAAGCTGATATAGTAGTTATGACTAATTGAGGGTGTTTGCGTGATTTAATATTTACACATTTAACACTAACAAGCTGAAATAAAACCAGTACAAATGTATTTGATATTTTTCTTTAGCAACATATTCTTACCAATGTCAAATAAGTTATTAATGTAATAGTTATATGTATGCTTGTTATTTTATGTCTAGTTTATTTTAACATGATGAACTTTCGATGAATTCATTTTCATTGACAAATAAGAATTATAATATGCAAGAAACCTGACATAGTAGAATTTGATTTAACGCATGATTTATATTATTATAATTATATGTTAGAATATTAGATAAAATACTTTCCATTAATATTATGATAATCTAATTTCTTCCAAAGACCAATCTCACCAAACCGAATCAAAAGCTTGTAAAGGTCGATAAATATTGCCTGACTGTCATTTATTTGACCCGTAGCTCTAGCAATCTATACTATACCAAAATTATATTACAAATTATTTGAAGAAAAAATATACAATGAGAAAATTTTAACTAAATATTTTAGACTTCTAAGTATAAATATATAAATTCCAGTTTTTTTTCAACATATCTCTAGACTAAGAAAATATGGTATAAAGTATAAATAGCTATTGAGTTAAAACTTGCTTATTATACAATGTGTCGTGTACATGTTCATACCTTTACTAAACCTAAAAGGGAGATAAATTCAGCAGTCTTAAGTGTACAAATTTAACTATGTTTAATATATACATAAAAATGTCTTGTTTGCGCTTTACAATAAATTAAAATAAACAGACCAAAAGACAGGCGAGTTTAAATACCTTTTAAGGTTATGTTGACGTAAAAGCGATTTTTTTTTCAATTCTTGGCCAAAATTCTTAAGGGCAACATTTTTATACATTTTGCATTCCTTTTAAGGCGTTAACTATAAATTCTCTAAAATAATGCAAAAGAGAGAATTTTAAACACACCAGTGACAGTTATTAATTAAATTAGAAATCTTCAAAGTGTCACAATTTTCATTAAATCATTCTATGTCAGAATCTCAGTGTGGAATAATTAGCAACTATGATAGGGTAATAAATATGACAATAAATTAAGTATAAGTCTTAATGATATAAAGGTATAATATGAGAACTAACTTAGTATCAACCAGTTATCCCTCATTATATATGCTTCAAATCAAGTCAGGGATAGGTTTCAATGTTTTCTAGAAATAAAATGGTCATTTATGCCATTATTTTCTGTAAATCTACAAAAAAGGGAGCAACAGAGTTTTTTTTTTCCTGCGGTCATAATACAGATGTTATTGAACCAGCTTCAACTTTCGCACGGTGCATATCCATATCGGTACCCTCTTTGCGAAATTTACTGAAACGGTACCCTCTCCGATCATGCACAGGCCACTCTTTGCTGAAAACAAACAATCAATGGATACTCATACAGCTTATTTTCCTTCTACTGATGAAAAGAGGTAAGTCATGTGGTAAAGTAGTGTACCACGGAACACTAGAATGTTTTATTTATGTGTTGTTTTGTCATGTGCCAATTTTTCAATTACTGCAACTTCAAAATAAGCTTCATAAAATCGACATGTCATGCCTCGCTATCGCCTCGACATATTTTGTCGGGCTGGAACGAACGAGTTATTTGATTATATACGCACCATGCATGTTACATGTGTTCATTTATTTATCATCTTTTGACAAACTGCAGTTATTAGTCAAAAATGAACGTTAAATACATAAAAACACCCTACTTTCGGTTTGGCAGCGGCACGGGCTACCTCTCTGTGTTTGAATTTTTATGTCACAGGTAACCTCTCGCTCATTTTTTTAACGCACAGGTACCCTCTAAGCACACGACTGTTTTTTTTTCTTTTTTATTTGTATCAATCGTTTAATGGTTTTTTAGTATAGGTTAAAGTTTATTGGTCAGACCAATTTAATTTTGTAAATATGTACTAATAATTTGAACCGGCTTAGTGTTTTAAATTATTTTTATAATAGACTGTTTTACAGTTTGCCGAGTAACCTAAGTAAATCTGTTATGATTTTGGTTTAGCATTTATAAATTAATGAATAAATTAATTAATTATTTAAACAGTTGCATTTCTTTACAGATCTCGAAAACGTAAACGGAATTCAGGATTGTGGCTACACCATCCGAAAAAGAGACCTGTACAGAACATTTATGAAACAACAACGAGAGCAACCAACCCATCATGGACGCCACAAAATATTTCAAGCACAGTCTGTCCGAATAGCGACGAACTTAGAGCCGCTCCTTCAAAAAACTGGACCAGGAATAAAACACCACCAAAGTCCAAAAAAGTGTTGTTTGAGACTGGCATAGAAGAGTCACTTTGCCAGGAAATTACTAAATTACTTCCAACAATCCTTTCAAATTTAGGACATGCTGGTAAACTTGTTGAATTTTGTCAGTTTCTTCGATTGATTGCCACAAACAAGTTTCCGTTACATAATATATCATTGTTACTTTTGCTTGATGTGGCCAAATGGTACTCTCTAGACAATACATCTCAAATGAAGTATCCACCTGAAACCATGCTTTTTTGGAAAACAATGTACCGATTATTTCATGGGAAAGCTCTTCGTTTTATGAGCGGAGAAAAATCTTCAAGTCAAGTTCTTAATGAACAACGTGGTACCTGTACGCCTCAAAACACTTCCATAAATTTTGCAGTACCAAGCGTTTTTGCCATTAATAGCTTTGTAAATACAGAAACTGCAATTCCAAAGGAAATTCGTCCTGGTATAATAAAGCAAGGTATAGAATTGAGATCCAAGGAAAAATGTTATGTTCTAAGTGTAGATGGCAAGAAATTGGCACCAGGTTTAAACAGAGAAAACGGCGATCAGGATCTTTTTGGGCATGAACAAACTGAAACTTTAAATCAAACAAAGGAGCGTCTTGAAAACGAAATTAACTTAATTGAAAGGGTTCACGAGTGCTGGAGCAAACTGGACAATGACGAAAAGTGTGAACGTTTGGAAAAAATAATTAAGACAATATCATTTCGTATAGTAGAAATGCGGAAACTGTTTTTAAAGCAGACACTGGCATTGAAAAGGTTCCAGAAAGAGGCTGGTGAAAAGTGGAGAGAGTCTAGGTTAGTTTACGCCATCAGCAGTGTGCAAGCCCAGATATTCCAAATACGGTCAGTAGTAAAAAGGCTTCTGCATATAAATGATCTACTTCTTCAAACTGGATCAGCGATTAAGCAATCACAACGCATTACTAATACCTTCAGTTCTGAAAGTACTATAGATATCAGTGGGCAGGATAACTGTATAAGGCTTAAAGAAGTAAATGAATTGCCTCAGAATGAGCAGCAGAATATTCGCTTTATAAAACAACGATCTGACGAGTGGTTCAAAAACAGGAAAAAATACAAAATAACTGGTAGTACATTATATGGAGCACTGGGTTTAGATACATTGAAAAAACAGCAATCTCATTTTGATCGTGTTGTAAAAGGAATACAACAAGATGAGACTTTCTCAGAAGAAGTACAGCATAGGTTAGATCATGGCACAAAGTCAGAGATTCACGCCATAGCGACTTTAGCATCAAAGATTTTACCATTCTACTATCATGATCTCAAATACATTGAAGAAGGTGCACATGCAGTTGATTTTAATAGTGAACCATTCATGATGGTATCACCAGATGGCAGTTTATGTTACATGGAAACAAATAGTGATTGCTTACCTTCACCTCTGTTTGGCTGTGAATTCAAGTGTCCTGTGCAGGCAGAATACAAGACTCCAGTGCATTATGAAATACCGTTACGGTAAGAATCAAATTAAAGTAGCATGCTTCCAAATGCATGCTAATTTTCATGTTAATTTTGAAAATATATCTAAAGGTGAAATATTGTGAGGTGAACAAATAAAGTATTTGACATATTGCAAACAGCACTTACAAACCACGCAAATTACCATAAAAAAGTCAAATTTGGAAAAACAGTCCTTATTGCGTTAGTAACGAAGTAAAGATATGGTTATAAATACTTCAAAATCGGTCTTATATAGCACATAACATGTAAAGTCAAACTTGGATCTTGACTTGTTTAACCTTTCTTAAAATTTTAGTATATTTTTCCCAAATTTTGTTTTTCTTGAAATATTTTGGCTTATCTGGAGACATGCAGCTTTAAAAGTAAAGAGTAACAGTAATGAACTAATAGTGTTATGACAAATTTGGTGAACGTTTTAATTTGTTGTTGATGAAATGTATTTTTACATTAAAGTTGATCGAACAGTGGTTATATTGGAACATAGAAGATGTCTGTGCTGTGACTTTTGATAATGTAGCTTTAAGTATTATCTTGTAGATTGATATTTAGATTATTATAATTGCTAAAATTATTTATATTATCATTATCACTGTAAACATTTTGTTTGTAGGTATATTCCACAACTATTGGCAGAAATGGCGAGTATGCGCATTGATAAGATGATATATCTATGTTGGTCAGAAGAAAGCTCAACTGTATTTATGTACGTTCTATTTTTAACAATCGGAGTGCGGAGTGAATCCGCCCCGAAAAATGCTCCTCATTCATCTTGATAAATACTTAGAAACATAGAATAATAATTGAAATAAAATATTAAAGGCTCATCAAGGCTCATCAAGTCTGAAAAAGCAATCTGTTTTAAATTTTTAACAGCCTTTTACCATTTATATCCTGTTACTGGTCAGAAAATATAACTCATTTGATTTATTTCTGATCCATCTTTTACATTTATTTCCAAATAAAACTATGTACATATTTGGAATTCAAAGAACCACTCTTTTCATTTTAATCACAAATATATTTATTTTTAGTTCTATTTTCTTCCGGTAGGAAATAGCAAACAAATATTCAGAAGTATAAACGTATATCCGTTAAAGCAACTCCACTAAGGTCCAATAGCCTTAAATAATAAACTTTGAAAATCTTTTTTAAATCAACTGATACACTTATTTTTGAAACCAAGCAATAGATGATATATAATTATTCATGGTATAAAACTGACAATCGATTTTTTGTCGATCTTTGGCCTATTTAAATTAAAAGTAATTTAAGCTTAAAGCGTTGCAACGCTTTCATTTTTTGGACCAATTTGCACAGTGAAATTTGTTGTTTCTGTAAAACGGATTGAGCGTTATTGGTTAGACATAAATCTAGTCCTACAAAATACTTGAACAATGTTTTCGATCTCTTCTTGTAAAAAAGAACCGCAGTGGAGTCGCTTTAAAGTATTTTATGAACCTATGTAACAATCATTACCTTTATTATCAATAGGGCAAGTTTCGACCCAGAATTATGGAACATGATTTTGGCTGAGGTAACAACAGTTTATAATGGTTCAGACTTGAAAAGGCCGACTAAACTATCGAAGACAAGTAAATCTATTGCTGAAAAAATGAAAGAGTACAGGGAATCTTCAACTGAACTACTCTGTGAAATACCATCTGTAAAAGGTATTAGCTCCCAAACGTCACAGTCTAATGACAATTCGCCCTACTTGTTTCCAATAACTGTCTTGAATGAGACTGAAAAATTGACGGAAATAGATGTTATAATGAATTCAGCAGTGTCCGCCGTCCGAGAAGTGCACGAGATTTGTAGAAAAAAGGCAACCGAAATTTTAGTTTGGTTGCTTAGTGATACTGACCGCACCTGGGATCCGGAAGTACCACATTCCACTCCAGTGGCGTATGCTATGGCTGGATACAGTCTACCAGTAAAGCCAATGCGAAACATGCATGAAGATATTTTAGAACATTGCTTTCAGAAAGGTATGAATGTTGTGTGTAGCAGTTTTGATGGTCAGTGGTTGAAACTTGCGACGAGGGATTCTAGTGACAGGCCCCTCACATTGATTCAGCTTCAGCGTGATGTATACGACAACGCTTCGAAAGTAAGCCGTAAAGAAATCATCAAACACTTCAAAGACTTAATGATAGTACAAGACACTATCAAAGATATCAAGTACGTCAGGGTGAACAACTCACTTACTGTATCGTCTACAAAACTAAAAAGATTAATGACTGCTATACGCAGAAGCAGAAGCCCGAATGAAATTTGTAAAAAGGGCGCTATTGACACTGATCTTAAAAGTGATAATTTATCCTGTTTACCAAATGAAGCATTAGAAACATTAATAACTGAAGAAATTAATGACACAGAAACAGATGAAATAGTTTCTTGTACAGAAGATACACGCAATGTTCCTGTAGTTGTTGATGACAATGTTCACGATGACAATTGTGAAAATAATGTATCATTTTCAAACGTGCTTACTGAAAACGAATTAAAGACTGCTCTTTGTGAATTTCAAAACTCTAAGCAGAAGTCTATTAGTAAACGGTGGAATGGAAAATCAATAACTGATTTACAAACATGTATAAACAATGTGCAGCTTTTAAGAAAACTAACACACAACGAATTAAATAGTCTCATTTATCTGTCTCTTCATTATCAGAAACTGAAAGGTGTTTATATAAGAAAGTCATGGTCAATATTGGAAAAAGTCAATGGGCTAAGCAAAGTAATCGGTAGCTGTGATCAAATAACGCAAGAGAAAACAATTAAACAAATGAAATCATTAAGATATTTTTCAGCAAATGTCGTTGAGCGGAGTATGAAGTGTGTACCAAAGTCAACACTGAACAATTTGTACGCTGTCATCTTATACGATTCCGAATACAAGAAGTGGCTGAATTCCTCCCCTTTTTGCGAAAAGATGCAAATTCAAGGATTAGGAGAAACCAAACTGTTCTCATATCCAGAAATGAATGAAACAAGGCAAAAATTGGAACACAGATGCGTTGATTATCACCATCTATTTGTCAATTTAAGAGTTAAAGTTTGCAAAGACGGTTTACAGGGTATACGCAAAGAAGCTTGGCACGCTGTTGCAGAGTTAGGTGATAATGTGATCAGTAAAGCTATTGTGATTGATCTTATTGATAAACAGAACAATGCATATGCCAAACGTGTATTCTCCTCAGAAGTAGAGTCCGCTATGAGGTCATTGAATTTTTACAAAGAAGCAAATTTTTGTAAATTGGTTAGACATTGGTATCAAGCGGAAGACATGCCAGGTTTATCGGCAATTGAACGCTGTAAACGACGCATAGCATTGAAGAACTTTCTTCTTGATGGTGTAGATTTTGGTCAATATCCACAACCTGGAATGTACGTCAAAGGATTTCCAAAAGTTATGTTCGAATCATTCCTTCAACGGATTGATACATCCTTCCAGTTATACTCTAGCATAAAAGGGAAATGTTATAATCCTAGGGCAATATCTAGTCTAGTAAATGAGACATTTTTTGGGGAATTGTCAGATCTGGAACCGACGAAGCTTGGTTGTCCAAAAGCTATAAGTATACCCCGATTGATATCAACTGTGACAGAAATTCAGCATTACCGCTGTGATCCAACTAGAAGGCAAGAAATATAGTATAATGCTTTTTTTTTTTAAATCACATAGTGCATATTTAAACATTAACTTGTTAAAATACAATCATTGCCATGTTAATGAAAATTTAATACATTGTATCATATAGATCGTATAAAATAAGACGTAATATAGATATATTTTAAGTAAAATAATAACCGGCAGAAAAAAACAGATATTTCAGTTTGAGACACTATTTATAATTCAGTAAGCCATGTTTGTTTAAAGCCTTTGCATTATTAATTTAAAAACCATAACGTTTTCCAATGTGCACCACATCTTAACGTTAAAAGCTTATGCGTGTAGATGTCCGACAGAAGTCTGATTCAATAAGTACATGTATTTATTTCCTAAATTTCTTTTCCAGGACTTTTAAGATCATAACAACGAGAAAGTCCGTTTATCCAGCTACTGAGTTACATATCGCAGATTTCCCGTCCACCTCTTCTTTAAGCGAAAATATTGTTGATGGATCAACATTGATCGTTAGGTTAGCTTGATCTTAATATTATACTATGTTCCATCTTTTCACTGGATAGAAAAGCATATATATAGGTAGATTGGGCGTCCGTGGCGGATTGATTAAGGTCGTTGACTACAAACCACTTGCCCCTAACCGCTGTTGGTTCGAATCCAGACAGGGACTTTGCATTTTTTTTATCTAAAGAAGCTATCCAGCTAGCTAACAGAAAATAATAATTAGTTCTACGCAGACGCCTGTCATGTCTGAAATAATATACCAAGTGACACCTGAGGTTTTCCTCTACATAGCTGGAAAGTCGCCATATGACTTATACTAAGTCGGTGTGATGTAAAACCCAATCAAACAAACACACATATATGTTAATATAGTGTTTATAGGATAGCTAGCTGCACTAGGTGGAGAAAATAAAGACACACAAACAGACAGGCAAAGAAACAGTAAAATTAAAAGGTTACTCAGTTTAGCTACCAAAGGTTCTGTTAACTCTCTTGTATCAAGCGTGATATCTTTTATTTATCCTTTTCCAGAGATCATTCATTTGACATGTCTTATCGTAGACGCAAGAAGCAGAGAAAATCGAAGCGTTCCGATGTTTCAAAACCATCCGCTGTAGCGAGAGGTTGCCAGCCTATAAGAGCCCACCATAAGTGCGATGAGAGTAAACTACTACCAACTAGAAGACTTGGTATAGAGATGGAGTGATTTCGTAACATATGATTTGTTTTAGAGAGACACGTTCGAAGTACATGTATTTGGCATAAATCAATGCAAAGTGCCTATCGTTAATAAAGGGCTAATATTCTTTGTTTGTATTTGAGTTTTAGTCAAACATGTTAGCCAAAATGGGTGCCCCATCCAGAAAAAGACTATTGTACATTTTCAAGTTGTTGTACAAGTGCAAAATACAGTGGACCCTCGAAGGAAACATATGCTTCTTTAGCGCGTCATGTGTAATGCTCCAATCATGCTGAGTCTGCTAAATTGGGGTTTGAACTCCAACCTCGAAATCCGTAAATTTGCACTCTCTCCCTAATGATATAAACAGGCCAGACTTGAAGCAGTCCTTGCAATCAAGGTCTATTCAGACAACCGTCTGTAGCCCTCAATTTTGAGATCTAAAATGATATGAATTTAGCACAGATAAGTAGGCATGACGGCTTTTGATATGTTCTCAGCTCAATGAACAAACAACAAGCTATAAGCTACCTTCATTTTTTATGACGAAAAGAAAAAGAAAAATATTCCAGCTAAACTTGTGACATTTTAATAATAACTGGAACTAAAATTATAATCAACTTACAAGTAAAACAAATAAATCGGATATAATACACATGTACTTGCTAGATTTTTTTTAAAGAAATATTTAAAAGAAAATATACAAGACGGTCAAGATAGCCCTATATCGCTCACCTGTCTAAATGTCAAAAAGGCAGAACACATGGCATTGATAACAGTCGTTAGGTCAAAATCTAGGCTGACTGGTATTAAAATTTAAACATTTTAATCATTATGCAAATAATTATTCTGAATGTCATAGCTATAGCTGTCATTGAGCACATGCTGATCAGGTAAGCTAAAAGGCTAGCATTAACACAATTAAAATAACATTTCTAGATGTACTGTACCTATTAACTGAAAAATGGTAATGAAACAAGAACTAAATGAAACATGAGTGGTAAAAAATTATTGCATTCCTATCATAAAACGGAATAATTATGTGTATTGCATGTTTCTTAAATTTAGTGCAATATCCACTATTGCAATAAAAATCACACTAAAATATAATCAAAATATCATGTTATACGTACTTTTATAACAAAGCAAAGAACGTAATATTGAACAAGAACAATCTTAAAGAAACTAACTAGGATTTGTATAGAAAAAAAACCGAAACTTTAACCGAACAAAAAGGAAAAGGCAGCCTTTAAAAATAACATTTTAACTTATTATATAACGTCAGTTTATATCAGTTATTAATGTCAGTAGTGTCCAGCTTTCTTTTTATGACGGTACAATGAGCTATGATGTGTGAAAGTTTTCCCACATATTGGACACTGATGTAATTCCACATATGCCTTGTGCTTCCTGCTATGCTCCTTAAGGTACCTATTGGATTTGAACATACTTCCGCAAATTTCACATTTTATATGTTTATTTATGCCACATGTTGTTTTGTGTCGAACAAGGCATGAGCGTGCTTTGAAAGTCTGAGAACATTTTGCACATTTAAAATGTCTGCTATTGTAATGCGTTGCAGTATGATCAACTAAATCACTTTTGTAATTAAAACTTTTCCCACACACTTCGCAATAATATGTGTATTTATCTTCATGAGTAGACTCGTGGCGTTTACAGCCTAGTTTAGTTACATATATTTTACTACACACTTTGCATCTATAACGTCCAGTAGAATGCATTTTTTTGTGTTGGTTAAAAGCGGATAGTATGTAATACGTTTTTCCACACACAGAACAGTTTAACCCTCCTTCAGTGTTATGAACATTCATATGTCTTTTCAGACTTGCCTTAAGAGTATATGTTTTATTACAAATTGAACACTCAAAAGATTTTTTATTGGTAGAAACAGTGACTTCTCCTATTTCTTGAAAAGTATCTCTGGGCACTACATCCATACCTAACGTGTCGTCCCTTTCTTCAAGTCTTTCTTCCTGTAATTCAAAATCAATAGCTTTATCTTTATCAACGCTTTCTTCGTGATCTTCAGAAACATTGCCAACACTTTCTTCCCCATGTACTCCAAAAACACTCGTATCAACTCTTTTTACACTTCTTTTCTCCTCCAATTTATCATCACTTTCTTTCGGAAGCACTAAACAAACAGCTGTTTTGCCTTCATTTACACTCTCTTCTTCCAACACTACTTCGGCTGTTTCACCTGCAGATTCAGCTACCGCATTGGATAAAGCAACGTCTTGTATGTCAGGAATAAGTAAGTTATTGTTGTGGTCACTTTCTTCCGAGGAATCGTTTTCAGTCAATGGCTTGAACCCAAAGATGTTTAACCAACTGTTGAATTCCTAAAACATAAAATGCAACCACAGTTAAAGCCCGCTTAATTAAGACCAACAGTTTGCCTGGTCTTAAAGGCACATTATGCCTCAGAAACAAATATGCTTTTTTCTTTTTAAGAATGTGCAAACATAAGTTTTATAAAATTTAGTTCTAGAGCATGTTAGAAGGGTATATCACCAAGGCAAAATGAGTGCTAAATGTGAAGTTATTTGTCATAATAGGAGCAAAATGTAACAAAGTAATATTTAGACTTTAATTCAAAATACTAAATTACTGTAACTGAATTGATTGACAAAAGCAACAGAAGCAAAATATTGTTTAAGTAATTGGCCAGTAAGTAACTCTTTGTAACGTATGGCAGGACACTAAAATTGATCTCATAATAATGATATATCAAAAAAGCATTTCTGAGGTATAATTAATGGGCCTTCAATGGAGTTTCATGTTAGATATCTATTAGATAAAGTGTTATTAATCTAGTACATTCTATATCCGCAGGTAACTGAGATAAAAAGCGAGTAAATGATCTTAAGCTCGATTTATGAAAGCATATTATTTTTCCAAACAGTTTTTCACGACGCTATGCTCTAAGCGTGCAGACATATCTTAAAAGAAATGGTTTTTAACAGCGGATTTTTTTCATAAAGATTTTTGCTCTTAACTAATTGTGACAAAGTTCGCAAGTTTGTGAACTAATGAATAGAATTGGCCTTTATATCAAATCGTTTCTGTATTTACATATTGCGTTCGTTATATATTTTAAGTCAAATAAATGTGATTTAAAGTAAAGATGCGCTATTTACTTCAGCGCCTTTATACAAACATACCATTTCCCAAATCTGTCCTTTAACATCTACATATGATTACCATGTATACATATCTGAAACAAGAAAATACAATGTGATAACTATGGTGCTTCATGTGTATCATCGTGGTGGTAACAAGATGCAACAACACAGTACAATGTATTACAATGCCATATAACCGGAGAAAAAGCTTGCATATTTTACTAACTAATAATGCTTATTAATGCTGCTGCATTTTGATTTGATGGTGTAATTGGTTGGGGCTTAAGTCGGTTGGAATCCTAAGCGGTTCCTAAGCTTGATGTTAAATGTTGCTTTATTTTCCTGAACACTGAACGTGAGGCAAAATAGATCTTTCTCCACCACCATAAAACTATTAAAAGATGCAAGTCTCCATATGAACTTTTGTACTTTGTGCCATTAAACATGACCAACAACTAGTAAATCAGTTACGCTTATTTAAATGTTATCAAAACATAGTGTTTATAAGCATACTAAACGGTTCAACAAATGGAACGTAAATAAAACCACGTGTTGCGCTTAGAGGGTGCCTGTGCGTTAAAAAAATGAGCGAGAGGTTACCTGTGACATAAAAATTTAAACACAGAGAGGTAGCCCGTGCCGCTGTCAAACCGAAAGTAGGGTGTTTTTATGTATTTAACGTTCATTTTTGACTAATAACTGCAGTTTGTCAAAAGATGATAAATAAATGAACACATGTAACATGCATGGTGCGTATATAATCAAATAACTCGTTCATTCCAGCCCGACAAAATATGTCGAGGCGATAGCGAGGCATGACATGTCGATTTTATGAAGCTTATTTTGAAGTTGCAGTAATTGAAAAATTGGCACATGACAAAACAACACATAAATAAAACATTCTAGTGTTCCGTGGTACACTACTTTACCACATGACTTACCTCTTTTCATCAGTAGAAGGAAAATAAGCTGTATGAGTATCCATTGATTGTTTGTTTTCAGCAAAGAGTGGCCTGTGCATGATCGGAGAGGGTACCGTTTCAGTAAATTTCGCAAAGAGGGTACCGATATGGATATGCACCGTGTTTCGGCATATTTCGTAAACTGTATGTCTAAGAATTAAGTCGATATTTCCGATACATCGAATAAGTATCGATATGTTCAGATACACAAATAAGTATCGATATGTTTAGATACACAAATAAGCATCGATATGTTTAGATACACAAATAAGTATCAAAATGTTCAGATACTAAAAAAAGTATCGATATGTCCAGATATACAAATAAGTATCGATATATATATATATACATGTATATATCCAGAAACATCAAATAAGGATTACAGATAAATTCAATAAGTATCAATTTGTCCAGATTTATCTAATAAGTATCGATATGTGCAGATGCATCAAATTCAAGTCAGTATCGATATGTACGGATATGTCCAATTTGTATCGATATTTCCAGATACACCAAATAAGTATCGATATGTCTGGATACATCCAATATTTATCGATATTTCTAGATACATCCAAATAAGAATACACCTTTATTATCATAACCACTTTTAGAATGATTTAAAATTTCTGAAAGTTACGAGGTTACTGTAATATAAGCTGTTAAAACTATCGAGTATACCAGTAGTGTATGATTTGTAATTGTATATAATTTCATTTTTTCTGGAAAATCATAAAAAATGAATCCGAGTCATGTTCGTATAAAGAGACTTTCTTTCCAACATATTCGGCACTTCTTTAACTTAAATAATATCTTATTTGGATATTTTAATACAAAACAAAAAAAAATATTCGTTTAAATATCGATTGGACGGACGTTTCGGGTAAATTGACTTAATATTTTCGTCTCTGGTCTGACTTTGTACCTTTAAATTATGTTCAAATATAACTGAAGTGTCAAGGAGTGTCACAATATCGTTCGAAATGGCATGAATTGTGTCAAAGGTTAGCCATAATGCAAGTGATTTAATATGAGAATACATCATCAGAGTACTATTTCAGGTGTTGTTGCTTAATAAGTCATAAAATAGATTGAAATACATTTAGATTACAAAGAAAAAATATTGTTAATGGAACACAGTTACCATTAAAGTCTATAAAAGGAAGTCTCTCGTATACTTTAAATTTGCTAAGAATCAAATCAATCTTTCAGACAGAGTATGTAGATTTATCATTATTTTGGTCGTTTCTCGGCTTTACATTTATTTCGTTTCCATAGTTTCATTTTGTACAAATGAAATTTAGCTGAAAAGATAATTAACAAACTATTCTGTTTGGACATATTTTTATCTATTTATTTTTATTTATTTTTATTGACATTTTTTACTGGTATGTAGCATTGCTTGGGACGGTTTCATGAATTTCAGGGATTACATAATTTTTATATACATTTTTTTAGAATTAATGTAAATATTCATAATGCTTATCGCTTACTGAACATTGTATAGACGAGAGGAGCAATTACCTTGTAGTTAAGTAATATGCCTTTGACCACTAGGGTCGTGGGTTCGAGCCGTACATGAGGTCATGACATGTTTCCTCGTGACACCAGTACTATTTGAGCCGCGTCACGACAAAACCAACATAGTGCGTTTTCGACATGTAAGGGTTATGGGAAAGTTGATTGAAGCCCTACTTATATGTAATAATTATATCTAATAATGCGGATGCGCAGGCTGGTCTGGATCTATGCTGGTCGCAAACCCATTATGTTGGTTTTGTCATGTCACGGTTCATTTATGACAGATAAAATATAGCTCAATGTAAACAAAACCTTACATGTTATTAGTAATTATTATCATATATTTTGAAAAATCATTAAATTATATAAAACCCATTAAAACTATTACAAAACTTACAAAAATCTATCAAGTCATTTATCTGAATAAAAAATATAACAACCAAACAACACAACTTGAAGCTTCTGTCAACATGAACGAATCTAGTTTCATAATGCCGTTTTCGTATGCCTGCAACCTTTTATTATTCGATTAATTTTCTAATATAAAGCCACTGTCAGGCGAGTTCCAATGAAACGAAGAGAAACTTTGCATATTTCTCTGACACGTTTTTAATATGTAATAATTATATCTAAAAATGGAAGTGTTACTCTATTTAGACTGAATTAAGTGAATTTAAATCAAACGGCTTAGAAAATAGATTTAGTGAACGAAAATGCGATATCATAGCTATATTCATACGCTAGGCCGTGCAACCGCCACGTGATAACATTGCTTTGCCTTTAATTCCATTTCTTACCTTCTCAATGCTCATTCCTAATAAATCTACCAGATTGTTGTTATTTTAAATTTCCATTTTCTGACAGAAATGATAAATAATTGGTTTGAAGCTGTCTGTCTGTATTCATAAATATTGTCGCGTTTTAGTTTAGGTCTTTGTACCAAAAAACACAGTTATGTTAATAAATACATGGAGTAATTACTCATGAAAGCATAACCGGTTTATATGTTCTAATATTAAGTCAGGCGAACTAGCTAAGAACGCGGATATATTGGGCGGAGGGGGGGGGGGGTAAGTACTGTGACCTGTACGACATTATTTCAGGAAAAGTGACTGTAACCTTAGTAGGGCTTGAATAAACTCTTCCATAACTCTTACAAGTCCGCAAAAAGCCGTTGTTTCCTTGAGAAAGAAACTTTACATTCATTGCTTAGTACTGGTTGGTTCCAGGAACGGATTCGACAGTGTTTTAATAAGCTTATAGCTTCCAACACAATCAAACTAAAATATATTTGAATAAACTAAGTCCCCAATTTCCCAGTTTTCTTATAGCTTCCAACACAATCAAACTAAAATATATTTGAATAAACTAAGTCCCCAATTTCCCAGTTTTATTTATTAAACAATGACTCTTGCAACGCGTGTATTGTTGTGGAATATACCGTTGTGCATTGAATTCGATATTATAATAATTCAATTGTATATTCACTTATTTGTTTTAACTATTTCCAATAAATATTTTACTGGATAGTGGAAATTAAAGCGTCAATCTATTTATCTATCTTTAAACATACGGGGGAAAATGAACGTGTCAGCAAAATTGAAATTTATCATTTTCATGTAAAGATGTTTATCTTCCACTATCTTTACACAAATGAGTTGAACGAAAAAGATTAAATAAAAAAGGCATTGTTAAAAATATTAGATATTTATCTAAAATAACAATAAATTATAATATAGTCTGCTTTGTTTAAACTAGATTCAAATGCTTTTTTAAGAATATGCTTTTATAAACTTTGAGTTTAATACCATTGTCAACACATTTTTTATTAAAATGTCGTCTAGAAATGCATCGCGATTGACTTGCGCAGACGACATTTTTACTGTCTAGTAACTAGTCTACAGAACGCACGAAGAAACGTCTGTCTCATTCGATGTGTCCTTAAATACAATTACTGCACATAAAGCTTAATATAACTGGCTAAACTATCCGAGTTACATTTTATTTGACAAGAAGTAATGCATACACGTTTAAGTTTAAGTTAAAATAAACGGTTTGATAGTCAGCCACTATCATCCCGTGGATATCGTCTGCTGATATCGTTTGGCTAAGTTACAAGCGGCACACGACCAAAAAACTGGATTTTTTTCCGTATGAAGGCATGGTATAAATACTGTAACGATTACACTAGTTTTTAAAAAGAAAAAAAAAATTGTCGTTTGCTGTGTGTTTTTTTTTTAAAGAAACAAACAAAAAACGCGCAATGATAATATGAAAGGAGGACAATTTAAAATTATGATTTAGAATTACATACATAAAAAAGATAAGCATATAATTATCTTTAATAATATATAAATATATTTTTCGGAACAAATATTTTGATAGAAAAAAAACAACTAAAAAAAATGGATAAAATAAACAATTCCTGGATATTATTAGTTATATTTTGCGTGCTTTCGGGGGCTCGTGCCCAGCATAGTGTGATACGTTTTACCAGTGACGAGATTAAGAAGATTGTAGCCACTCATAATGACCTCAGGAGATCGATCTACAACGCTGCAAACATGAGAGAACTGGTAGGATATTTGCTATCTATTCCATTCTATTGAACTATCAAATCGAACCCACCACCGGATATGCGTAAGGATTTAAATAAAAAAAGTTGTTTTAGACCCGCATTAAAGTTCGGTTTATATCTGTGTTCTATATATTTTTTATCATTTTTGTAGCTATATCTGTACTGAGCAGTATGTTATGTTTAAACAATCAAATCATATATAAATTTATGGTGTAAAATTCACAGCAATCTGAGATATATTCACACACTATAGTTAATGGTAGGGTTAATTTTTATACCACTTCAATCCATTTCACTACATTACCGAATGAATTAATTTTACCAGTTTTCCTTGAAAATTAAATATATTCCCCTTATCACATCATCAGTTTTGTTCCTTTTTTTCTCTTTTATTAAATATTTCTGCCTTTTACTCCTTTTCTCTATCTTTTCTAGATATAATTGTAAAAGGGAATACTTTATTTTTGTTCTCAAGACAAGATCCATAAATCAAATGTTTAAATAGTGATATTTGTTCAGTGGCTGGTTTTATATCATTCAACAAGATCCATAAATTATTATGATAATTCAACTATCTCAGGTCATTAGAGATAATAATCTTACTATAATATAAAATTAATCATACTCTTGCGATCGTTGCAGCATCGTACTTTCATTTTTAGCTCGACTTTTCTATGAAAAGGGGAGCTATCCTACTCGCCCCGGCGTCGGCGTCGGCGTTGGCGTCACACCTTGGTTAAGTTTTTCGTACCACCCCACTTTATTTCAGAAGTATTACAAGTATGGCTTTGAAACTTACCATACTTGTTCACCATCATAACCTCCATCTACAGACAAGAGTACATAACTCTGTCAAGGTTTTTGACAGAATTATGGCCCTTTTTTGACTTAGAAAGTGTATTGAGCTTGGTTAAGTTTTTTTGTACCACCTCACTTTATTTCAAAACCATTGGAGGTATTTGCTTTGAAACTGACCATACTTGTTTACCATCACGACCTTCATCAACAGACAAGAGGACATAACTCTGTCAAGGTTTTTTTGACAGAATTATGCCCCTTTTTGACTTAGAAAATAACATTGAATATGGGTAAAATCCACTTATTGCCTTAACCCTTTGAGATATTGCTTTGAAACTTTTAATGCTATTTCACATCATTACCCCCATCTGTACGCAAGAGAAGGTAACTCTGTCAAGGATTTGTTTTAAAAATTAAGGCCTTTTATCGACTTAGAATCTTGGTTAAGTTTTTAGTACCAGTCCACTTTTTGACTGAACTGTTTGAGATATTAATTTGAAAGTTGGAATACTTGTTTACAATCATGATTCCCAAACATGTCCAGGAGAAGGTAATTCTGTCAAAGATTTTATTTGAATTATGGCCCTTAACTGTCAATGTTTTGTATTATAGGCAAGCACTAAAAAAGTCGAGCGCGCTGTCTTACGGACAGCTCTTGTTATTTTCTCCATTTTCTACAACACAATTTTCCTACGTCACTAAGATATTTTTATACATACATTAGCGGAGTTTGTATATCAAATGAATACGAGATCAAGTTATACAAAAATGTACTAGTAACATATTTCTTTTAATGTGTTTTTACCAAATTATGAAGATATTCTATGAAAATGTGGTATTATCTCATCTTTTTTCTCAAATATCTTAACATGAGAAAAAAAAAGACAAAAGTATGTACCGTTTTTGGCCTTTACAAATTATCAATATTATGAATTGATTTTTACGAGATAATATATAAATTTAAACATTAGATAGAAATTGTTTAAACGTCCTGTTTGACAGTCTATCCGCCGATCTAATTTACATAACCTCTAGAGAATGCCGTTTTGTTTGTTTTTGTTTTTTTTCTTTTGCTAAAAGTAATATTTATGCAAGTGAATATTGTAGAAAGTTATTCTTAAAGGAAAATGGAAAGAAAGCCAAGTCATATATGTAGGCAACATATCGTTCATAGGCATATTTCTAATCCTTGTGTGTACATCAAGTGTACATGTACATTTTGCATGTTTTAGTTGCAATGCACTGTACAACGTTAATTGGGTTGTATATAACGTTGTATAAAAGAACCTCTGTAACTGAACCTTCTCTAACTCTCAACTGATATGGTTTAAAACGAGAGTTAATGTTTTCATAGTTTATATTAAATGCATTTCGTGGACCACTCGATCAAAGATTATTTCTGAATTATCTGATAAAAAATTGAAAAACTGCCTTTTTCAGTAGGGCAGAGGGCGCTGTGATTATATGGGAAATACAGCGATCTTGTGTATGTTTATGTACACTATGATTAGATATGGTAACAACACACCTCTATCATTGTACTTACATATCTTACTTCAACTACTGACACAATTTTGGAAGTTCAGTAATTACTCCTTTTGGACTGAATAATTGGTTTATTCATAAAAAAACAAGTTTGTTTATTTTATCTATCAGACGAATATAAATACATAAAACTGCTCGAAAACATGCATATACTTTATAGCAAATTTGGAATAAATAAAGTATTTTTTGTAGGTAAAAATGCAACCTTGCTACCGCATTTAACATCAAAGGTGTTAACTCCGCGGGATATGTTGACTTAATTTTTTTCTCAGTTACGTTTGTTCACCTGTTTGCCTATTGGGTATTTGTTTAACTAGTTAATGAATGCAAGGCCAGACTAATTCACCGTATAATTATTTCTCTTTTCGTGCATTCCCTTGCGTATGTTGGAGAATTTTCGTTGACAATGTATTGCATTGATAAAAACACATCTGCTCAGATGGTAGCAGAGTTACATATACCTGTCAATGCTTCTATCACTGAATTGTGGCCAAACATGTAAATTATTTGGTTATATGTAATCTGATCTTTAATATTTATCGTAATAATTCTATCTTGCTGAATGGACGAAACGATTGAAAATTCGCCATGCCCTAGCGCTCTGTGGTAAAATGTAGTCTAATGTCGGATAAATAGGCTATATGCGATGATTGAATAATAGTCTTTACATAGGGAAGAAATGTTAACAAATCTTTATATTGACAAGAAATGTTCACAAGTCTTTATGTTAACCTGGTTTTATAGATTAAAGAAATGTTCAGAAAACTTTGTGTTTACCAGTCTTAAAGCTAACCAGATTTTATATAAGAAAGAAATGTTCACACGTCTTTATATAGAAAAGAAAATGTTTACCATTCTTTATATAGGAACTAATTATTTACTAAATTTTATAACGGAAAGACATGTTCACAAGTATTATATATGTCAGAAATGTTGACTAGTCTTTTTATAGAAAAAATGTTCACAAGTCTTTATATTGGTAAGAAATGTTTACAAGTTGTTATAAAGGAAAGAAAAATGTTCACACGTCTTTATATAGGAAAGTAATGTTCACAAGTCTTTATATAGGAAAAAATGTACACAAGTCGTTATATAGGGAAGAAATGTTCACACGTCTTTATATAGGAAAGTAATGTTCACAAGTCTTTATATAGGAAAGAAATGTTCACAAGTCGTTATATAGGAAAGAAATGTTCACAAGTTGTTATAAAGTAAAGAAAAATGTTCACACGTCTTTATATAGGAAATTTATGTCGTTATATAGGGAAGAAATGTTCACAAGTCGTTATATAGGGAAGAAATGTTCACAAGTCGTTATAAAGGAAAGAAAAATGTTCACACGTCTTTATATAGGAGAGAATTGTTTACAAAGCTTGTAAAGAAATGTTCACATGTCGTTATATAGGAATGCAATCTTCACAAGTAATGTAGGAAAGAAATGTTCACAAGTCGGTATATAGTAAAGAATTTATTTACACGCCGTTATATAGGAAAGAAATGTTAATCAGTCTTTATATAGGCAAGAAATAGGGAAAATTTTGTTGAAATATTGACATCTGATTGTCAACAGATCTATCAAGTCACAAACATTTAGTGTTTCCCTCATATAAAAGATGGCATGTTACCAAATCTAACAATACGGCACAGACATATTATATTAGTCAACTACCAAACCCAGCTTTCACTTTCTGTTCAGTCATGTATCTGTCTATTCAAAAAATTGCATCTGAATTAAAAAGCACGTAACTAAATATTGTTTAAAACTGATTATATGAAATATGTGTCAAACCCTAATTCACACAGTATGAATTATAAAGAGAAAAATACACTTAAAGTTCATTTCAGTGTCATTTGTTTGTTAAAGCCAATATGAACACTTTCAAACGTTTCATTTTGCTCATTTTTTATTTAGAATGACAAATACGTAATATTTAATGTATTCATTTTATCATTATTCATAAAAGTACGTTAGCAACGGTATTCGTAATTTATGACACTGACAATTATTTAAATTATAATTGTTAATTCAACAAAAGTGACACCAAGAAGAAGCCATATGGTACCTTAATCTGCAGGTGGAATATACTTCACTTGTCATAACTTCATAGGTAGGGTTTACACCTTTGCATTTGTTAAAGCAAACTTGATGTCTAAAGGTACTCATATTTGTATATCAGCATATATATATATGACTTGCATACGTGCACGATGACGTATTTATGGCGAAAGATTGGGCAAAAGTTTTAACGTATTATCTTTTATATATGCAAATCGCAATGAAATTCTTTAAAAAATTACTTCTTTTTAATGTTAGACAAATAGTAAAGTGTATTACACGCTTGTCTTAATATGTATAAGTATTTACAAATACAGTAACTGTAAAAATTAATGCTCAAGGCAAGGCAAATGTCTTTAAATTAACAATATAGATGCGATTTTGACTTGACTTGCATTTATCAACAGTTTAGACTATACAGTCAATACACCCAATACTGGTAATAGTCTGATTAGTACTGCATGTGTTTATGTAATATACCCAAAACTCATATCAAGCGATCGTGGCGCTCTATTGTGCACTTTCTTTTCAATAATGTCATCGCATGTGCACAAGTTGTTAAAGTATAGATACCTAGGTTTAGGTTTCAACACAATGGA